TGACCCCCCGGGGCGGGGCCAATTTAGACCCCAGGGCTTTTATTTGAACAAACTTGGTAGACACTCACTAGAAGATGTTTCATGCCAAATATCTAAGCTATAGCTCTTTGAGTTCTTTAAAAGAAGATTTTTTAAGTTTTTACTATATGCATATAAGGAAAATCAATGACCCCCGGGGCGGGGCCAATTTTCACCCCAGGGCTTTTATTTGAACAAACTTGGTAGACACCCATTAGAACATGTTTCATGCTAAATATCTTAGCTCTAGCTCTTTGGGTTCTTTAAAAGAAGATTTTTTAAGTTTTTACTATATGCATATAGGGAAAATCAATGACCCCCCGGGGCGGGGCCAATTTTCACCCCAGGGCTTTTATTTGAACAAACTTGGTAGACACTCACTAGAAGATGTTTCATGCCAAATATCTAAGCTCTAGCTCTTTGAGTTCTTTAAAAGAAGATTTTTTAAGTTTTTACTATATGCATATAGGGAAAATCAATGACCCCCGGGGCGGGGCCAATTTTCACCCCAGGGCTTTTATTTGAACAAACTTGGTAGACACCCATTAGAACATGTTTCATGCTAAATATCTTAGCTCTAGCTCTTTGGGTTCTTTAAAAGAAGATTTTTTAAGTTTTTACTATATGCATATAGGGAAAATCAATGACCCCCCGGGGCGGGGCCAATTTTCACCCCAGGGCTTTTATTTGAACAAACTTGGTAGACACTCACTAGAAGATGTTTCATGCCAAATATCTAAGCTCTAGCTCTTATGGTTTTTTAAAAGAAGATATTTAAAGTTTTTTCTTTCGGTTGCCATGGCAACCAGAGTTTTGCATGGAATTAAATTCTTTGAACATTTTTAAAGGTGACCACCAAAGGAACATTCCTGTGAAGTTTGGATGAAATTGGCTTAGTGGTTTATGAGGAGATGTCATTTAAAGTAAAAGTTTACGGACGGACGGACGGACGACGGACGGACGCCGGACGAAAAGCGATCACAAAAGCTCACCCTGTCACTTTGTGACAGGTGAGCTAATAAAAAAACTTATCATTTTCAATAAAAAAACATCTTGGTTAATATTATACAGCATTAGATTTATATTTTTAAGATCAATTACAACAAACTAGTGTTTTCAATATTACAAAAGGAAAAACAAACAATAGCAAAAAAAGGAAGAAAAAAAGTGAAACAAAAATACTTGTAATAAAAAAATCGTATATAAAAAACCTAATAGAAAAATGAATAATCAGTTTAAAATGCCAAAGGTATAAAAATAGATTTTTTATATAATTTTCAACTTTAAAAAAATATAGAATATAAAGTAGAAGCATTATTAAAACCTTCAATATTAAAATAACTATCTACCATTCAAGCTTATGACATCAATTGACAGCCAATCATAGAGTTTTCAAAGTGCATTCGTTCAAAGCATTTTCAATCAGTAAAATAACTTTAGAGTAACCTTTTTTTCCAAAATCATGAAATCTTTACAACGCCAATAAAATAACAGTTTTTTTCTGATTTCCGTTCTGCCAATAAAGAGTGTAGTTAGAGGAATTTCTTTTTCCATTTATTTTATGTTTAACTTATCTTTTTTAACATATATATTGCAAAGATAAAATTTGGGGGGAAAAACAACAGGAAAGGCCAATAAAAAAAGAGGGTACTAGTACATAGCGCAAGCTGAAACAAAATTATTTTTCTTTGGCCTTAAAGAAATTTTTTTCTTATTTATTAAGCATGTTTATTAATCACAACCCACAACTGGTTTTGATAAGGATACTTTGTTAACTACACTCCTACAAACTCGCACTCAATTGACTGCAGGAAAAGATTGCAAACTATTTCAAATTAAAAATGTTGACTGTTCAAAAGGTATAAAGCTATATTGAGGCTGTAATCCACAAGATGTCTGTATTCTTATTTTTGTTGTTTTTTTTTTGTCTGTACTAGATATCATTCAAGAAAAACTACTAAAGAATAATGAATATATATTATATTTCCATAAATTCAAGTGGCTTATGTATAAATCTGTAGCTAAATATTACTCATTACCCCTGAAGCAGTTGACATTCTTTGTTAAAACTTCATGATTGGATGTTTACTAACAAATGACATGTAAACTACTTCATGATTTGTATTTACTAACAACTGATTTCACTATTGACTTTTTAAATTATATTTGGCATGTAAAATACTTCAATACTTACAACTGGACTGTATATGAAACTACTTTATCATATGGTTGTTGACTTAAAAATAACACAAAAACTGCTTCATAACTCACACATTAACTTACAATCTATGTCCACTACTTCATGATTGGTTTGTTTGCTTTTTTTTACTGTATTTTTCTTTTCAAGAAAGTACAAAAATAATGCCACTATTACAAAATAAAATGATACATTTGTACAATAATTTAGAACAATAATATCACAAAAATTACTTTTAACCCTTACCACCCTAGATATCTTAAATGGACTTGTCCATCTTTCAATCTGGACAAAACCATTCACCATTTTTAGGCAAAAAATTCAGAATAATTATGTCCTGACCAACTAGCCAACAATGCAGACCATGAACAAACAGCACCTATGTGCCGGCTGATTTTGATCTGCACTGGTCACATAAGTAGATTCTGTGACCATCAGCGGGATAAGGGTAAAAGAATTAAAGAACCAATAAGAATAATTTAAAAAGCACTTTAGTTAATAACATTTTTTTTTTCAAAGTTATTATATATAAATAATTATCTAAGGTTATTATAAAACAAGAGATTCTACAGGGTAGAAAACTATTTGTAGGTGACAGAATCATTAACTGTCTCTTCAAGGAAACTTAATAAGTCAAACAATATACAGTCAAACCCGTGAACGGAGATGTCTAAAAGGAGAAACTGAACATTGCCTTTATAAACAAGTGGCCTATATTTGGAGGTTACTCAGTTATATTTGACCAATGAAGGGTTGTTGAAGGGTGGCCTTTATCTACAGGGTGACCTTTCTGAGGGGTGGTCTTTAAAACAGGTTTAACTGTAATAAATCTATGCCACTGTACTTGAATTATAAATATATAAATTCCAGGGAAAATGTAAATCACATTTACAATAACTTATATAAATTTTCTAAAATAATATTACATATTTAAAATTTCAGTTTTTCAAAATTTCATACCCTTCAAGTATCAACGAAGATTTTACCATATGTAATTCATCTGCCTGATAAGCCATTTTGGCTTTCACAAAGGTCTAGTCATGCAACAATTAATAAAAAATCTAAATTACCAAATAATAATACAATATATATAAATCTGTCAAACAGAACAAAAAGAAAATCAGCAATTTATGAAAGCCTTTCATTTTAACTTAACATCTATGTAACATGCTTATTTTATTAACAATTCAATAGAACGTTTATGTTCCTACTCATCCCTTTATTTTCAAAGCAAAAATTAAGAATCCATTTGATTTCAGTTCATACATAACAAATTTTGTAATCTGTACACCTTAATAAAAATACACACACACACATCCCCAACACATATTATAGTATGCACAATGTTCAAATTTTTCCCCAAATGTCTGAAAACATACAAAAACATGCCCCCATATGTACATAAAATGTAGATAAAAGTATCCCCAAAAATGACAGTTTTACAGAAAACTGTAATGACAACAATCTTTTGGAGGACTAAACGAAATTGAGCATTAAACAATAACATTATACATAAAAAGAAACAGGTCACAAAACGAAAGGTAATGGGATGGCAAAACTGAAATGAACTCATTACGACACCTGGTGATACAGTCCAAGACTTCTTACTCCCTAAGACTGGACCCCTAAATTATCTTTTTTAGTAAAGTTAACCAGTCTTAAGAAAATATGTAATTTGATTGGCTGCTGATTTAGAATTAATTCGAAAAAAGACCAATGACAAGGCTTTATTTTGAAAAATCTGATCTATTTTTTTCCTTTTGGATGTTGACAACTGAAGCTTTACAAATTCATACTTTTGTCCGTCTGCTGGAAATCAAACCAGAAATATCCAAAGGATATCTATACAAAGCTGAAACTTTCATATGTAACAATTCTATCTTCCAATGACTCATTAAAGCTTTTTACCTACAATAATAGATTTTAAATGGACTTGTCCCATCAAAATGATTCCTGATTTTCAGATATATTTTCAAAATATGTACTGACTAAATAGCAAACAGTGCAGACTATGATCAGATGGCAGGGATGTGCTGGCTAATCTTGGTCTGCACTGGTAGCATAGGTAAATTCAGTTACTGCCAGCAGATCCTGGACATCCATACCCTTGCTGTAACATTCTTTCTTATTTTTCCATCTACATAAAGAACAATGTTCAAAATCATAGTAAACTACAGTATACCCCTATATCCTTTTCCCGAAAACAAAAACAAATTCACATGAATTCTTTATATACCATTAAGCAACACATATCTACCTTCTGTTTCTATTTCCGCACGTAATATAAGCAACAATGTCCTGTAACCAAAACAACAAGCACTTAAACGAAACAAATGATTTCCTACTTTGTTACTGACCTGGCCAAAATCATGAATAACAAATAACGAAACAAAATCCTTATTTTTCATATAAGGAAAACTATTCTTTCAAAATTTGCTGCTCTGTAGTTTAGAATTGTAGGGGAGATTTTATTAAAACTTGGCTCTTTGAAGTTCTAGATAAACAGAAATAGGTGAATTCACTCCATTCAAATCGGTTTTAAAAGAACCATGATGACAGTAACTAAAGGGGGGAGGTGGGGAGGGGTGTAGATCATAACCATCTGATGGCAATATGGAATGTGAAAACGGTCATGGGTATAACAAGTTTATCAGGTTATCTTATAAATTAACATCTTTGGTATAACGCCTAGTGATCTATTTATAACTTGTAGGTTAACCAGGCACCCATTCAAGCATTTTTCTTATAGTAAATTGTAAACAAATTTGATTTGCGTTTATTTTCCCCCAAAAAACAAACAAGAATCAGACTTGAACATACAGGCTTAAGCGTCAATTTCATATATTGGCATGTATAAAAGATAATTAAGAACCAAACTTGAAAAATGTTTGAAATTTAAAATTAAGTAGGCAACAGTTTTGACAATGAGAAGACAACAGTTCAGTAAGTATAAAACTAGAAAATCTTCAACTTTAAAAATCATTTCAAATTTCAATTTCAAAAATCAATTCAATTTTAGACTTTATACACTTAAATGTATTTAGACATTCCAACTGGACTTGGTCAGTCTTAAACCAGGCTAAGGATAACAAGGACCTATAAAAATAGAAAAATATTAAACCAGTCAAAATATTTAACCCTGATTTATAAAACCAGACTGGTTTAATAATAAATCTGTTTGATTTAAACCTTTTAAAATAAGGCTAAATGGAACCAGCCTGAAAACCTTAACCTTACATCTGTCTGGAATCAGTCTCAATCAACCTTACAAGTCCATAAAAACAAACAAGTCTGAAATCATAACAAATTAATGAAATAAAGCAGTTTGTAAATTATTTTGACTGAAATCCTTTACCATGCATTAAATGAAGCCATTTCTGTGTAACCAACTAATAAAACACTAAACCAGTCTACAAATATTCTGACTGGTTACAAAAAACTCTAGAAAGACATTAAACACATAGAATCATTCTTATTCTGATTCAACCATGATAATATGTATCAACAGCACAAATGAAAATTTGGTCTCTAGAGGGGGTACAAATAGGAGTCTGCTTGTGGAGGGGTGATAGATTAACGACATTGAATACATTTTATTATTGTACTAGGACCAATCAAGGTATTAAAACAGTATTCTTTTTTTATGACATAAAAAAAACAAAATATTGTGAACACATTCCTTTCAACACTATTAAAGAACTTTCATTTCTTCTCTTCATAATGTACACAGCAGGTTGTTGTTATATTCGAAAAAAAAAAAACACTTATCAAAAAAAATTTTTTTTAGATGCTATCTTTCTGCATCACCATGTCATATCTAAATCATTTTTTTTCAAAAGAACCAACGTTTTGGTTGCTCAAATCACGGAACTCCGAGGAACCTCTTACTCAGAATTTCACATCTGAACGATTCCATTTTACCTTCTTTCATATGCATGATCTGATGACATACAAACTCAGTATGCGTTCTTTTCTTAAGTCCATCCATCGCCAATGACTAGCCTGCCATCTTGTCCCGTCACCTCCGCTTTGTTCAAACTGCCGTTTTAAATCTGTAACTGTGCAATCTCACACAAAGATCCTCTTATCCTCTTAAAACAAGCAGGGTATAACTAAAGTCACATGTGTAAAAATGCCTCTACTAAAGTATAAACCGCCCAACCAAACATTTCACTCCTTTCCAGTTGCTTCAACCGAAATATTTGATGGTGAATTCATTTATTTATTTTTTTTCATGAAAAAAATAAGGAAGAAAAACAATGTTTTATCTTGATCATTTCTTCCCGTAGTCCTATAACTGATCGAGCCTGAAAGAGTTCTCGGTGTCAGCGTCCGTCACCATATTAGGATCGGTCAGCATCTGTAGACCGTCGAGATCCAGGGGCACTAACCCATCTTTTAAAGCTTCATCAGACACCCCACTGAATAAATCAGCATCGAAAGAACCATCTCCCATGCCTGTAATATAACCGTAAAATGTTTAATAAACACTGAAACACAAACAACATTTACAGGAAACCATCAACACACCATCAGAGATTACACTTGAGTGAATCACTCAAGTTACGATGGTCATTTGTCTGCTCTAATGATTTTGTATAATGAACTTGTCATGAGAAAATCAATAACAAAATTGAGAAGGAAATAGTATAGCCTGCCCTGAATACACATACAAGCTGGCAGGTCGGGCCTCTTTCTGGCGACAGACTTAGTATCTTTAAAGTATATACAAACAATGTTTCTAGAATTTGATTCGCTCCTCCCCAAGGTCTTCCTCAACCAGTAAAGCTGGAAAGTTGTCTTATGACTTTTCAAAGAGTCAGTGTGACTTAACCCCCTACCCCCATATCCCTCCCCCCTTCCTGCCACCCAAGAAAAAAAAAATTTAATATGCCATGATCCTGAATTTCTATATTAAATTTTTAATGTTGAAGTTACGCAAAAAGAAAGTAAAAACAATAAATATTTGAATAGTTCACTTACTGCACAGACCTGATAGAATTATATCTGGTATTTTATTGTTTGCAGTTGAGCTAGTTAATGTGTTATTGATGATGGGTGACTGAGAGCTGACATTATTGTCCATGTAGTACTGTTGTTGTTGTTGTTGTTGCTGCTGCTGCTGCTGTTGTTGTTGTTGTTGATGTTGCTGATGATTAAAATCGGGGCTCATTACTTGACTATTAGCCTGGGAGTATGGCAAAGAGTTTGAAACTGAGCTCGTTAGGCCCACACCTGACTTGCTCACATCATTGCAAACTGAAACCACTTGATGCTGAAATAAACAAAATTAAAACTGATATACACATTAGCTATACATACTGCACTCATAGTTTAAATTGCTGCAGTATCACCCTTTCCATGTTAATTTCAAAGTCATGAACATCAAATCTACCTACCCATGCGACCAGTTCAGCCCATGCCATCTGATCATGGTCGGTACTGTTCCCCATTCTGTCAAATTTCTACAACAGTAAATTTAAAATCTTCAAATTGTGGCATGATCAATGAAACTTACCGTGTTAAATTGTTCAAATTTTAGTATGATCAGTGAACTTACCAAGTTAAAATGTTCAAATTGCTTCAGCAATGAACTTACCAAGTTAAAATGTTCAAATTTTAGTATGATCAATGAACTTACCAAGTTAGAATGTGTAAATTTAAGTACGATTAATGAACTTACCAAGTTAAAATGTTCAAATTTTAGTATGATCAATGAACTTAAAACCAAGTTAAAATGTGCAAATTTAAGTATGATCAATGAACTTACCAAGTTAAAATATGCTAATTTAAGTATGATCAATGAACTTACCAAGTTAAAATGTGCAAATTTAAGTACGATCAATGAACTTACAAGGTTAAAATGTGCAAATTACAACATGATCAATGAACTTACCATGTAAATATGTGTTAAATTTTGACCATCAGTGAACTTATCACATTAAAATGTACAAATTTCTACATGATCAATGAACTTACCATGTTAAAAATTTGCACGATCATTGAATTTTCTATGTTAATATGTACACATCTGTGCATGATAAATGAACTTACCATGTTAATATGCACACATAGTGCTTGATAAATGAACTTACCTTGATAAAATATACACGTTTGTGCATTATGATCAAACTTACCGTGTTAAAATATACACATTTGTGCATGATAATCAAACTTACCGTGTTAAAATATGCACATTTGTGCATGATAATCAAACTTACCGTGTTAACATATACACATTTGTGCATGATAATCAAACTTACCGTGTTAACATATGCACATTTGTGCATGATAATCAAACTTACTGTGTTAAAATATACATATTTGTGCATGATAATCACACCGTGTTAAAATATACACATCTGCGCATGATAATCAAACTTACCTTGTTCAAATATACACATTTGTGCATGATAATCAAACTTACTGTATTTAAATGTACATAGCTATTTGTACATCATTTATGAACTTACCATGTTAATATGTACACATTTTAGCATGATCAATGAACTTACCATGTTAAAATGTTCAAATTGCTGCTGAAGAGCGTTAGTCTGTTGCTGCTGTAAGTGGTATGGGTCTATATCAAATACAGAATTATTCCATGACGTGGGTGGCAACCCGGGAGATTGTGATGGTGAATACGAAGGTTGACTATGTGGTGAAGTTGGTGACTGACACCCACTCTCAGATATGTTATTTCTATACTGTGTCAATGATGGCTGAAAAATACAAGATCATACAAAACAAATCTCTCTTTTGATCTTAAATATAGGGAGGAATACCTAGTGATAATGTTTAGTGTCTCTTAAAGCTATTCACATACAATGTATTTCAAAAAATGCTTCTATAGGTTGAAGAAGTCCAAATACTGTTTTAGTACAAGACATTGTTTTCAATGACATATATAACTTTATATCATTATTAAATATTTCACAAGATTACACATTCATTACACAAAATTCATGATGTCATTTTTTAACAAGAGAGCCATTGTGGCCTTACATCACTCACCTGAGCTCAATTACTAAAAAAAATCATTATTCTTTAATGAAAAAGTAGGTCATTTGGTGAAATTGGGGTGGGCAACCTATTGCCATGATTTAAACTTTAATATATGTTCACAAGGACATTGATTCAAGCCAAAAATCTAAACACTAGATCAAATAGTTTCACACATGACATTTACAATGTGTTTTCCTACATAATTCTATATAATTAAGCGGAAAAAATCTACGTTGTACGTGACCAGAAGGTGATGCAATAAGCCAAATATCTAAGCACTGGACATTGCAATTTTTAAGGTTTTTAAAGCCAGCTTCAAAAATAAGTCTTTGTTACAAAACCTAAGATCTGTTTAACACAAAATGATCTAAATGCATTTCCTAATGAAGTATATGGAAATTAACTGACCCCCACCCAAGGCAGGACAATTTTGACATACCTGACCTCTGGTGACAAAAATATATTCTTAGACATGATGTCTATTTTTAGCTCCTGTTACCTACTAATGAATAAGACTGAAACTATTTACACAACTTTTGTATAGTGTCACCTATAGATTATTCCTGCAAAGTTTGGTCAAAATCTTAATGAGTGACCAAAGAGAAATGGATTAGACTAACACCATGTTATCACAAAAAAGCTCATCTTTAAGTTCTCAGGTGAGCTAAAACAGCCTTGTGGCAGTATATATCATAGATTTAGTATTGTCTTATTGATAAAAGATTTTTAAATGTAGTCTTTTATCTCTTCATTGTTTAACTTCACTTTAAATTTTACCAATCATTTTCAAAAATTGCTACTTGACATCCAACAAGTCAAAATATTCTTTTCTATCAATATAATAAAGTTGCAAAATAAAATGAATTTTCAGCGGTTATTTAACAGGGGGGTGTAAAGTAACTGCAGCTGCTATAATATACATTAAAATCTTAAGCTCTAAAACAAAATTCATGCATTAACTAACATGCCACATGTGTTATCATCTCCACATAAAATTGTTGTGTACCCCTTAAAAGTACACCCACCATTTAACATATATTTTCTGTAGGAGAGGTCCTCAGTTTTTCTTTTCTTCAGTATTTAATCATAGATTCTCTTCAAAGAAAATATAAGAGCTGTCTTAAAGAACTGCAGACTCTTCTTATCTCAGTCAAGTATAGTAAACTATTTTTTTTCTTCTAAAAATAGATAATTTGAATAAAGGCCACAATGACCTTGACCTTGACTGTTGATATTTTGCCCCCAAAATAGGTGTGACAAGCAGAACTCATCAAGATGCTCCTACATATTAAGTTTCAATGTCATAGTTGAAATAAATTATTGACCATGAATAAAAAAATATTCAAACTTATCCTAGTGACCTTGACCTTTGACCTGAAAATAGCCATAGCAGGTAGCACTCATAAAAATTGTAATCTACATTCAAAGGTTGAAGTTCCTAGGTCAATTTTTTTTTTGGCCAGTTTTATGTTAATATTAACCTTTGACCTGGAAATGGGCATGCTTGGAAGGATTACATCTACATATGGTCATTTTGATAACCAGACCAGTTTTGTTATTTATTTCATGTCCAAGTGATCTTGACCTTTGACCAAAAAATTGCTGTAGCAAGTAGTACCCATCAAGGGTCATCCACAAATTTAGAGTCAATGTACTTTCTTGGTTAATATTTAGGTTTCTGACCATTAACAGAAACTAAACCTTTTTTGTCATTCACCAAAGACCTCTCATTAGTCCCCTACACTTCTTTAGATTTTTTCGCATTTTAAGAAAAGGTGTGTCAAACATATTTTCCCCCAGGTAATATAAATATAGACTCAACAATTTAATGCAGAGATGAGTTTAAATGATAAAACTATTCATAAACTGTGTCATATATATATGATTTCCAAAAAGTGTTCTCATTTTAAACCTTGATTATGTTTTCCTTCAAGGATTACAAACACTATTGAATTGGGTTTTATCAACAAATGGCCGATATTATCGTTATAACCCCAAAGCCACTGTTGTCTTCATTCAACAGATTTTGTAATACCTATTTTTAGAACATTTGTGTTACGTAACAAGGCGTTATATTATGTGATGTCATTATCAGAGTATCAGAAATACAAAAGTAACGGCCTGCATAAATATTCATAAGGGTTGTACAAGTGTAATTTATAGAGGACAATGAAGAATGCAATTTTAAATGCAAAATCTGTAAGAATAACAATTTTCAGAATTTTGCCTCTTGTCTACAACTGCACCTTGTCATGACAACCAAGTATTCCAAGTTTCTTGTCGACAACTTTTGAAATGCTTGAAGAACAATGGACTACATTAAAGTTTTTGCATGATAACACTTGAAGTCAACAATGATACCGCAGTGATAATAATAGCTGGACATTTTCTTTGAGACAGACGTGCTAAAAATTGACAACTGTGTCAATATTTGAGTGGCTTAACAGATCACCCTTTACAGAAGTCAAGAGACGTTTAAAAATTTGCATATAATCATGACACAGTTTATGGCCAACAAATGGATCTGACATGTCGCTATGTTCATAGTTTACCTCCGGTGGATCATTTTCATGAGACGTTACACAAACTTTCGGTACTGGCCCGAGATGAGGGGGAGGTACACGTGGACTTTCACCAAGCCCGACGACTTGGCTTTGAGATGAGTGCGTGGGTGATATATGATCCTGCCCCTGACCCCCTTGCCGCTGCTGCTGTTGATGCATATATAGCATATACTGCTGCCGTATTCGAGGATCCATTTGTAATGTGGTGGGATCTACTATGTTTTGCACCTATACAGACAAGAGCAACAAAACAACACTAATCAGCACAAAACAACAGCTCAACAATATATAAAATAAATAACTCACTGTCTACCACTACAATATAACAACTAGTTCACACCAAAACACACTCTAAAAACTGCATATCAAAGCATTGTTTTAATACATTTAGTTTAGTTTATAATTTTTATTTCAAATTTGGCATGGCTAGTAAATTTCTAAAAGGTAACTGTTTGGTGAGTGTTGTGTGGTAACATCTATCAAGGTAACAAAGATCCCCCCCCCGAAATTTTGGTGCAATATGCCACTGTGCTTAATGATTTAATCAAAATTAGTCTAAAATCATATACTATTTTCAAAACCTTCCCATTCCCATTTGAAGCAACATCGGTTTCACTTCAAACACAGTTAATACAATCTCCAGTACTCTAACCCTAACAATTCTGGGACCTGCACTGTGAAGCCTTTTGCCATCAGTATAGTGACAGGTCATCTGCATGTTTGTACAGTTATGCCAGGCTTTGTATATTGACTTACTATCATTATTTTAACTGTGAAACCCTAAAAGTGATAATGGACTGCTTCAAAACAGAAATTGGACGTGTAGATTTTGGAAATTTAGCAAGTTAAGGGTATATATGGACTGCTTCAAAACAGAAATTGGACGAGTAGATTTTGGAAATTTAGCAAGTTAAGGGTATATCTTAACTTGATGAAATAACAGTAAGTCTGACCAGGCTCTATACTGTGGGGCTGACCCACTCCAAATTTACATCTTGATCTCTCAAAAATTGATAATAGATAGTTCCAAAACTTACAGCTGACAAGTCCATTTTTAGAAAATCGGCAGGTTCAGGGCAAAAACCATAAACCATGACCGGATTGCAATCATGATTTTACACAAATATAATTTATACAAATTTTCATGACAGACCCATATCCAATTTACCAGATGATTAACTATGATAGCAATTGTGTGCCATTCACGTATCCATTTACATGAACTGTAACTTATCCCCATTTATATATGAAATATCATCTTTTTCCATTTAAAATGAAATATGGCTTAAGAGTAATTTTGGTGTGAAGTTTACATATTACCAAATAAACACACAATAACCCAGACTAACATCATTTTCCCACTAAATTGCACAGGGTATTGCAGATTTCTAGAATCTCGTATTATTCACATTAATTAATTCACTTTCTAAGTTAAAAGTATATTATCAGTTTGATCAGGGCAGAACTAACCTGGCAAATGGAGTATTTTTTAAAGAAAGATTCATATATTTGTTTAGTTTTTATTTTCTCACATGCTATATATACGTTTTAATTATCTTTTATCTCTTTTCATTTATGCAGTATACATATTGAGGGTTGACTGCTTAACTGCAGTAAGTTATATGAAATATAAAAGAACGTACAACAGTCAGCCCTCAATATGGGTATGAGTAAAACTGAGAGGTCTGTCTTATAATAATGGTCTATTTCCCATTTTCCTTCAGGCATATTATGTAAATGTTACCTTTATCATGTTTATTTTGTTAATATATCGTAATATGCAAAGCAAACTGTTGTAACAACAAAATATAAATAAATCAAATATATTAAATAAAATACTGGAGCTCTTCTGCTAAAAAAACCCCGAAAAACAACATGCTTTTCTCTTAAGCGGATAATCTGATGAACATAATAATGATCAAAGAAACATGATCAAATTTTGATGTTTTTTGTGTTGTTTTTTTTGCTGGGTTTTAAGTCAAATCAACACTGTTAAGGTGGAATGGTGACTTTCCAATCTTCCTGGTGAAGGAATATGTCAAAAAGGTACCCCTCTACATTTTTTCAGGCATTTAAGTGGGTATCCAAAGTAGAATCACCAACATTTCTTTTTTATAAGCTAGCTCAAAGTATCTTTAAATAAAAATCCAAAGTGCCTAGTAAGACACAGCCTTAAATATATTAAATGTACAATGGTACGATGATATTTAGACAGATAATACTTCTTTGTGTCTGTTTAGTACCAATTTAATACTTAACAATTATAGAACCAGTGTCTGGTATTCAGTAGTCTGTACCAGTACTAGCCTTATTATCTGCCGATACCCGTCAACTTACTCAACATACATGTACACCATTCCACACAGTGGTAAAAAAAAGGATGGCAACAGACATACCCTTCTCAATCAAATCATCATCTGAAAACATGAACCTCCCAAAAAATGTAGAGCTCTATCTACTAAGCTTAGCAGATGGGCTTTTTTTTGGTTTTGATGTCTCCACACTTAAATTGGATAGGCTACGGAAACCCTTTTTAATGTCATAATTTGTACAATATTTGCAATTTTTGACATCGTAAATCACTACTCTGAAAAAATGTGATCAAAAGCTAAAATTGTGCACTGCATCAGTAGCTAAATGTAAGTGAAGGATTCATCAAAAGTTCGTCTTAACTGCCAACATCTGCAGTACAACTGTTCCTAAACTGTTCCGAAATTTCCCTATCTTTAAAATGTGATTCCATCTATTACTTCTTCATCTTTTATGTTGCTATTGATTTTAATATTGCAAAAAGGAATGCTGTCTAAGCCTTCATTTGAGCTTAAATTATATTATTTGAAGCCTGGTAGGAAACATAAATCCTTCATAAACAAGAAGCGATTGCATTTTTAGCTAAAAATATATCCGGCTATGATGAAAAACTACATGGGAAGTAACAACAACAACAACAATACGGCTATGACAAATTTCTTACCGGAGGAGAGACTGGTACTCTCATAGACTGGTTTCCGTTCCCAGTTAACACAAGTGGGCTGGGTCCACTTGCATTCATCCTACGACGTCGGCTCCCGGGGCTCTGTGCGGGGGACCCGTTGTGGTGCTGTGGCGGCCCCATGGGCATATGATGAGCACTGGTTGGTGAGAGATTGGCAGAGTTATTGTTGTAGTTCTGGTCTTCAATATCGATGGGCGTGGTGAGGGGTGATGGGAACTGAAGGATGGTCAGATCGGGTAGCGAGCCTGTGTTGTTAGCCACAGGCACGTGCATCTGGGAGTCCTGCTCACCAGATGGATATATACTGTAAAACAAAATTATAATTTTACTTAACTTGAAGTTTGATTACCTATTATACAACGTCAATTCAAAATAACAATTTTACTCAATTAACTTGAAGTTCGACTACCTATTTTATAAGATGAATGCAAAATAATAACTAGAAATGTGTCCATAGGACACGGATGCCCCCACACGCCACTGTTCTGTCAATCTTATGGCTCTAGGTCAAATATTTTTTGGACTACATGTGCCACAAGTTGAAAACTAAAAATCAACAAAGGGCCATAATTCTGTTAAATTTGGTCGCAGCAAAAATTCCTTCCTTTACTACCATCTACACATTAAAGTTGTAAATCCCTGGAAGTTTAAGCAAAATCTGCCATCCGGTTTAAGAGGAGTTACGTTCACAAAATTTCTACAAAGTATATAATGAAAAAATCAACAAAGGGCCATAATTCTGTTAAATTTGGTTGCAGCAAAAATTCCTTCCTTTACTGCCATCTACACATTAAGGTTGTTCATCCCTGGAAGTTTAAGCAAAATCTGCCATCCGGTTTAAGAAAAGTTGCATTCACAAAATTTCTACATAGTATATAGTGAAAAAATCATCAAAGGGCCATTATTCTGTAAAATTTGGTCGCAGCAAAAATTCCTTCCTTTACTACCATCTACACCTTAAGGTTGTTTATCCCTGTAAGTTTAAGCAAAATCTGCCATCCGGTTTAAGAGGAGTTGCGTTCACAAAATTTCTACATAGTATATAGTGAAAAAATCAACAAAGGGCCATAATTCTGTTAAATTTGGTCGCAACAAAAATTCCTTCCTTTACTACCATCCACACATTAAGATTGTTCATCCCTGTAAGTTTAAGCAAAATCTGCCAACAGGTTTAAGAGGAGTTGCGTTCACAAAATTTCTACATAGTATCTAGTGAAAAAATCAACAAAGGGCCATAATTCTGTTAAATTTGGTCGCAGCGAAAATTCCTTCCTTTACTACCATCTACACATTAAGGTTGTTCATCCCTGTAAGTTTAAGCAAAATCTGCCATCCGGTTTAAGAGGAGTTGCGTTCACAAGATTTCGGGACGTACGGACGGACGGACGGACTGACGGACGGACGGACAAGTGCAACGCTATATGCTCCCACATTGTGGGGGCATAATAATTTTACTTGATTAATGTGCAGTAAGATTACTTATACTGAAAGGTTACTACTTTATAAACCAATTAAACATAGTAAGGAAAAGTAACACTTATAAAGTTATATTGCAATTACATTTAGTCAATGTTTGATTATAGTGCCTCCCTTATTGATTTTTACAAAATGACTTAGTCATAGCTACAGCTAGAGCTGTCATAAATTCAGTTCACAGCATATTGACAATATATTAATATTAAATGACAAATATCTCTAAGTGTATGCATTCAAACCCCATCAGGGACAAGCCTTTGTTTCTATTTTTTACACCCATTGCACTTTGTAACTATTAGTTCCAGAAACAGACTTGAGCTTATAGATTCCTACACAATTAAACTTAAATAAATTCTGTATAAACAAATGACAAATACCCATGGTACATCAATAAATTAAGTATAATTTCCATATATTTCATTTTTATGCCTGTTTTCATGATAAAAAGTGAAATACACCCTGAATTGTTTTGCGCATAGATTTATGTGTTTTGTTTATAAATGCCTTTTGATTATCTTTCATCACCAATGCTATGAAATATGTAAAGCGAAGTCGTCTATTAAGTAAAGACGGCATTCTTTTAGCCGACTATTTTGATAGGGCACCTGTTTCCGCTTATGTTTTATGCAATATTATTGTCATTTACACATATGGCCGAGTGGTTAACACAGTAATTAGACAAGTAATCTAAGACTTGTTGGTTTCAGGGTATAAATTGTGTCTAAAAGCTAAAAGCTTCCAACATAACTGACCTAAACCGATTCTGTATAAACCTACAAGAACAAAATATAATAACTTACTTTATATTTGGCACTTCACATGACTTAGGTCTTTGTTGTAGCTGAAATAGTTAAAATCATCATAAAATCTAACACTGGATTTTTTAACACTACAGTCAAACAAGAAAAAAAGAACTAAATTGCGGTAAATTGATTGGTAGATTGATTGATTCTCTAGAGATACGATTTCCAGCAACAACTAACAACCAAAGTTTTTTCTCCCTGGCACAGAGTTTTTGCTCTGCACAGGGTATAATGTATTTCAAAAAGATTTTTCCTGTGAAAATATATTAGATGTCATATAAAAGTATCACACTGATATTGATTTTTTTTCATTCTTATTGACAGGGCTTGAGCTAGGGAGCGACTAGGGCGAAGAAGTGGCCTTCGGATGAGCGACTTCGCCTAAAACAAACTTCAAAGCGATTTTGAAGTCACCAGATTTTTTAATGATCTGTCATACCTATTTACCATGCTTGGTCTGTAAACAATTTGTTTACTTCTCAATTACAACCAATTAACGTTAATCCACTATAGTTAAATTTGTATTTTCAGTTGATCTGACACTGAAAGGTTATAAATAATAAAGTACCTTTCAATCACTATCTCAGGCAAGGGCAGGCAACTAGGTAGAAACTAAGGCACGGGTAAGGTAACAAGGTAGAAATTCAGCTGAGAGGAAACCTGGCAGTGAATGGAACCTCATTTAATGGTCACCTCTTAACAACAGCCACCTCCTTACAACAGCCAGTTTCAATTCCCTTCCCCCGATGCATCTCAGTGATATCTCTAGCAGTGGAATGCAACACAGTAGCATCTTGTGCAGGGACAGACAACTCAGTAGAACTTCCAATCTTCCATAAAACTGACTTGGCAGCTTCCTCAAACAATAACAATTCAACGCCTTTGCTCAGATTCAAACATTTAAGTGTAAATGAATCAATATAAGCACATTTAACCTATCTACTATGGCAGTCAAACTTTCTATTCTTCTATAAAAGTATTTAACTTACCTTTTTTGGATCCCATGGGAAGGTCCCTGGTGCCATTCCAGAATTATCCCCAACTACCACTTCATGAACTGTTAACAGAAGAATTATCTGGATTTAAGGAAGTCAACAATTTCCAAAATTTTTTTTTAGCTAACTAACCCATAACCTGTTTGAACATAATGTGATTATTTTTTTGCCACCAGTTTAGAACCAGGCAAACCTGTGCATCTGTGCAGTCTGTTCAGATTCCGTAGTGTTGGCTGACTAATTCGAGAGTCAGCAGGTTAGAGGTTATATACTCCAAGAACAGGTAATTTTGCAGTGTAACAATATAAGAGGATAAAAATCCAATAATGATCTTCTGTGACTGCTCATCTATATTTTTAAATTAGGTACAAGTTTTAAAGCAAAGGTTTTGCTATAAGCATCTCTGAATTTATTGTTCTATATTAAATTAAAATACACTTAATAATTATGTTAATCATTTAACACTTTATGTGAAGAAGTTGTTCTTGTTTAAGTTAACAAATGTCTTTTATGTTTAAACATTTTTAATTTTTGCTTCATGGAGATGACAGCTGATTTTAATCGCTCCTGAGTTTGCTTCCTGAAACTAACCTGCCACGTGATAAAGAAATTTTCTATGCTAAAATTCAGATCTCAGGTATTTAATTGGGTCAGATAATTGCACAGAATGTGCACCGACCTGTGAAAATCTTAAAACTTAAAAAATAGTTTTTATAACTAAGAGGCCAATACTGGTGTTCATTTAGGATAAACATGATGCCAGCAACACTTGAACCCTCCATCACAGGGTCACGAGATATATGCCTTAACAAATGAGCAAACTATCCCAATGCCCCCTATTAAAGTGAAGGTTTCACAGCATATTGTCATCTAAGTGCAAGAACATGTTAAGTTCTTCCTAATTTAAGAACATCATGACACCAGTTCTGGTTGGTTCCAGGAAGTGGACTCAAAATTGATTCATATAAATTGCAAGAATTTGTTTCGAAATCAAGCTTAAATAAATATGTTTAAACTAATATGAAGGTAGGGAAAAAAATCTTATACAATAATATACTTACTTCTCCGATGCATGGGTGGGGTATTTGGACTAGAACCATCGGCACTTCTTCCAATGGCAGAACTGGAGTGTATTGCTGAATCTGAATTTGTTCTGAAACACAAAAAATCAATATGTAAATATTCACTGAATAAACACCATATGGTCCAGATTTTTCTTTTGGCACAATGGTTGACAAGGTTTTTAAAAATCCTCTGAAAGAAACAGAACTATTTTTTTATTATCAGTTTTAAAAAGAATTGAAACCACTATTATATTTTTTTCATAAAAAAAAACTAAGACACAAAAAAGCTATCTACAGTTGAAATTAAAGACTTAACAGTTAACTATTCTTTAGTTAAATCAAAATGTAGTCAAACAAAATTCCGTCTAATAACAAGTCATAAAAAAATACCTCTTCTCTTTATTTTTCTGCTTTTATATAAAAAAATTTCATGTTTTTTAGAAAGAAAAAAAATAGAAAAAGAGATTTTATCACTATTTAAACAGAATATATTAGTTGACTAATTTCTGAAAACAATTTAACAATTATTTCTAAATTGTATTTTCAAAGAACCAATGTTTTTTCCTGAATATTTCAAAGATTTTCTAGTATATTGCTCTGTTAAAAATGATTGAAACACAGTTTCTTAAATACATGTATACCAAAATTACACTTCACATGATTATCTGGTTTACATATATCACTCTTAATGACTGGTCGTAAAAAAACAACAAAGTTTCAAAATTAAAATTTTCTAAATTCATATAGTAATTTACCAGATATGTATCTTGTCTTCAAACCCCTTTCTACTAATTTTCAATTTGACCTCTTACTGACCCCTAACCATCATGCAAATGCCTCTTTCAATATACCGTAATGTTCACCTTGAATTTTCACTTTTAATTCTAACAATTTTATCGACAAATAAGAAAAATCCCACCATTTACGTTTTTCAAAAGAATAGCAAGAGAACCAGTCCCTGTATCCAGCACTGTCATAGGTCAATTTCAAAATAATTATTAAAATTAACCAATCAGAACACAGAAAACACACTTTTTGAAGACTGGTTCTCAAACTAGAAAATTGATTACTGTGCAATTTGAAAAGGTCCAATTTTTAAGTAATACCTGTTCAAAACTTGTATAAACTTCAAAAATTCAGGGTAATAATTTTCTTCCACCATGCTTAACTGTACATGTATATTATATATATTATTAATGCATATCACTTAGTCAAGTCAATGTTACTACATCTTTACTAAGATTTTTTTTTCATGCAAAACTTGAAGATAGTAACACAGCCAAATATTCTTTAATGTTATCTAACATACATCATTTTGTGTTACTTAAAGTCACTTAACATCATATTTCAATTTAAGTATTATATTGCAATTAAAAGCTTTAATCTAAATAATGATTTTTTATTTATAACATAAAAGTTTCTCTATTTTTTGTTGTGTACTCACTCCATATACATATTACAGAGGGAAATTCAAGCCTTCAGGAAGGCACTAAGAAGGTAACTAGACTTTATTCCAGCAGACTTACTTCTAGAAACCAATGTCTTTCAAATATAACCTTAATACTTAACCTGCTAGGTACAAAAGCAGTTTATCCCTTGCCACAAGTATAGTAAGCAAGGGTACCCTAAACATCTGTGCTGTTTGACCATGCTCAGCACTGTTTGCAGTAGCTCAATTACCTTAATATTATCATATAATACTCAGCGGTGTGAACTCACCGATATGATTATGCTGGAACCCTGAGTTGGTAACAATAGCAAGGGATATATATATCTTTTATTTATTTTATGCTGATTTTAACATATTTTTGGTGATACCTAACAGGCTTTCCTGGATAACTAACCAGTAGTAACCAGTTTCTCAGCAAGTGACTGACTACTTATCCAACATGATTCCTGCATGGTGACAGACAAATGACCATAAGATTAAGACCCAAGGTAAATTGGTAAGAGATATACGTTATAGATATTTCAACTTATATACGGTACTGACAATTAATGGATTGAACTTTCTGCGAATAATGATCTGTTTTGAAGGGTTTTCAATATCATCTGCAATAAATGAAAATGTACAGATTAAATGTACAAAAGCAATCTACTTTCCTAATACAACATTTATTCAATAATATAGTACTAGTAGTTAATTGTCGGCACCAATATGACCTTTTCTGAAATAAAGGTCACATGCATACTTAATTAGGAGCTGAACTTATTGAAAATCGAGATTAGTATAAATACACAGTCAATACGATATATCAGTAGTTATTATTTCCATTATAACCTGTTGAACCATTACCCTATGGAATTTGTGTAATGAACTCATCCAACCTTAAATTTGGAATTATCTATAATGGACTCAACCAGTCTTAAATTTGGAACAATCTTTAATTGACTCAACCAATAAATTTGGAATTATCTATAATGGACTCTACCAGTCTTAAATTTGGAACAATCTTTAATTGACTCAACCAATAAATTTGGAATTATCTATAATGGACTCGACCAGTCTTAAATTTGGAACAATCTTTAATTGACTCAACCAATAAATTTGGAATTATCTATAATGGACTCTACCAGTCTTAAATTTGGAACAATCTTTAATTGACTCAACCAATAAATTTGGAATTATCTATAATGGACTCGACCAGTCTTAAATTTGGAACAATCTTTAATTGACTCAACCAATAAATTTGGAATTATCTATAATGGACTCGACCAGTCTTAAATTTTGAACAACCCATAGTGGACTCATCCAGCGCTGATGTACGTTGTGTAACATAGTTGTAGATTGTGTACATTGAGTAACGGAAATCAGGATATCTTAAGATTCGGGAAGAAATATGAAATAAAACATGGATAGAGGTTTCCAGCATTCTTTGTTTTTATAGAAGGAAAGTCTCCAAAGTTAGAATATAAGAGATATGATACGGAGCTAATCGGTCACAAAAATCAGGCAAAGCATGACCTAAGTTGAGCATCTTCATGCGGAAGTTCATTATTAATACCATTAAAGTAGAATTTTTTTTTTACATTTAAGTAACAGTGTACAATCAGTCTCGAAGAGTAAGTATATTCAGTGATTGAAAGGCATGCTGTATAAAAGAGCCACAGATTAGCCTTTATCAATGGTAGTCTTAAAATAAATCAGCTTTTGATACAAAATGTATTGCATAGTCCTTGAACTACATGTACAAACTATTTCTTACAGCAGGTGAGTAGGTACATAGGTTGTTTTAAATAATTATTATTATTTCAATTTTCTTCTCATGTGAACTGTCCCTTGAAGGTCCCTGTAGTTATCTCTATACTTTTATAGTTATTCACAACTAATATGCTAAACTGCTTTTCAGACATCTATTAAAGAGAGGGGAGGGAGTTTTGAAAACTTAAACTGACGGTGACCTCCAATTTATCATCAAAACCGCCTTCTTCAGGGGCACTTTTTGTCAAGATTAGGTTTTTTTCTGAAGCCAAGTATAAAATTTAGCAGAAAAAATTGTCATTTTGCAGAGCAGTAGTCTTGTCTGTGTAGGTTTTATTATTTTTTCAGTATAAAAATTGCACATTATACTGCAAGTCATCTTAAAGTCACCTTTCCACCATATATAATAAATTATAACAAATTAGCTTTAAAGCTCATTAACTTAAAGCCTTCTAACATTTTAAATGCATAAGAAAAAATGGTGCATTTAGAATTAACAAGCGTGATTCTTGAACATAGAGTACTTATTTTCAATAATACACATCCCAGCACTTTCATACATTTGTTGTTTTGTTGGGTTTTTTTCACAGACACTGCTATGGTCATATATTGACTTTCTAGCTTCACTGAAGTAGGAAAACCCAACATGTGGGATTATTTATGTCTGTCAGTGCATTATTAAAATGCACAAGCAGACACTGGGGTAGAACCACTGACCTGTAAGCTAGCTGGAAAATTTTCCTTACATGAACGAATCAATTGCATATTTCACAGGGTGAAAAATATGCAGCCTGACTGGGACTAGAAACTTGAACCCATTGAATATCGTTCCACGACTCTACACCCTGAGCTATCCAGCAGCTTATACATCATCTTCCCTCAAATGTGTCGTGACACATGATTCAAACTTACAGCAAGGGGGGACCTGTTTCTCAGTCAGTGACCTTAACCATTCAGTCATTGCGCCCCCTCCTCCCCGCATTTTCATAATTAGTATTGATAACTGTGCATAATGGACGCTCTATATACCAAACTGCGTAATTCGTTTAAATATAAAGAGTTGATTAACATAAAAAGATCATGGGGAAATGCAAGATTTAATCAAGTTTACTGCACTGATATATAATATATAACCAAGTATGGCTTTATTTATCTAGACACTGGTTATATATTTTAGAAGTACTTACAAAATCAAAAATATACCACAAACTCGACTATAGTGCCCTATAATAACTTAATTAACAGGTTACAAATTTTTTCAACTAAGTCATAAAAGCTCTTTTGACATTTAAACCCAGCATGTACAAAAAGTGATAATTACCAATATGTAATAAACAAAGAGAATATCATGACCTTGCAAAATAAAATGTAACATTGGTCATTGAAGATTTAGGTTTTCATTTTTCATTCTGGGGAAAATTTACATGCTTACATTTTTCCTTGACAACTAATCATTTCAAGGATGTCAATCCTGTATATAACCACATACAGTCATGATTTATCTGTTAATTATTCTAAGATTTCTTTTTTTTTTCCAGGAATTTAACTACAAATTTATTTTTTTAAATTTCACAAATGCTTCATGTGTCATGTTAACATAAGCTTTGAAAACATACTATTTACAATTGCATTACAGCCTTCGATAAATCCAATCACCACCTGTCCCGTTCCCTGAAATTTGTATACAACAGCCAAGGTGAGACATATATGAGCATTACCTGCCAACCATTCCAACTACCTGATTATATACAAATGGCATTTCAGCATCACAATGGAACAAACATACAGCATTACACTTTCATGAGACATTCGTTCTGACTTTACTCTAACCCTGCTGGCGACAGTTTAATGTACCCATGCAACCAGTGCAGACCATGATCAGCCGGCACATCTGTGCCGTCTGATCATGGTCTGCATTGTTTGCTTTTCATTCAGGTTCATAATTTGAAATTTTCTCTATATAAAATGATGAATGGTTTTGCACAGAGTTAAAAGATGTACAAGTAAATTTAAATTATTTAGCCAGCTAAGGCTTAAATCAGAAATGATAATTTAATATATGTTAGGCATTGTTTCCATCAAATCTGCACAAAATTATTAAAATACCATAGTAAAAGGGACAATACTGAAAATTTTAATGACAGTCAAAGATAATATGCTTAACCTTTAACCCACTGAATTTCACAATCAATTTGCCTTGGTTTGAATTTGGAACATTCCATTTGAATTTTAAGGGAGTTGAAAATCATCAAAACATAAAAATTGAGCTTCCCAAAGTAAAGAATCTTTTCAGACTGCAAGGAAGTGCAAACTGACCTCCTTTTATGTTGATGGTAAAGGCTAATCACCACAGGTTGCATCAAGCTAAGGGTTCAAGCCTATAGGGGCAAACAAGCAAGTTTGTATATTTGCAATCATTCAATTGTTTTTAGTTACTAATGATTTCCTAAAATTTTAAGAAAACAATACTTATTTTTACAAAATTTTCATTGAATTTGATGAGGTGTTTGCATTTGTTATGTCTTTGAATTCATTGAACTCTTTAAATTCATTGAATCCACTGAGCACTATAAATTCAGTAATTCTTTGACATCATTAAATTAATTCATTAAATTCTATGAATAAATTATGATTAAGTTCTTAGTTCTTTGATTCCATTAAATTCTTTGAATTCATTAAATTCTTTGTATCCATTAAATTCTTCAAAATTCATTAGTTCTTCCCTTCCCTCAAATTTTTAATTCACTGAATCCTTTGAATTCATAAAGTTCTTAGCTCTTTGCATTCATTAAATTTCTTTGATTTCACCAAGCTCTGAAATTATAAGTTCCTATTAAATAACTTCAGACTTAATAATATTCATATGGATACCTAAAAGGCACGGATAACAAAGGAGAATAATATAATTCAAAGTAACCATTACAAAACAAAAAGGCACTGTGTACAGGCGGGAGGGAGATACAAGAGGGCTTTACCTAACTCCCAGGGTTTAACATGAGGAGGGTCATATCACCTAATTGTTGGCAGAGTATAAATGGTCATAAATATGCATATTATTTATGATATATGATATATATACGAAAGGCAATTCTCACACTTTGTAAAATAAATGACGAGTCTCATTTAAGTATAGTTTTTTTTAATTATTTTAGTTTTTCTAAGAATAATCATTTTTAAAACATCTAATTTCCTGTGAAATATTTCCAACATGAACGGCCACTTGTCCAAATATTTATCACATCACATGTTCATTGACAAATTTAAGATTATTTACTTTTCTAGCATGAATATGTATATAAAATCATCAGTTTCATACAAGCCCATTATTTTATGATGGAGTACCTCATCAAATTGAAATTAATTATTCCCTTTATCACAATTAAGAGCAGAGACATAATATTCATACTAGGTGATCATAGCCTTTAACTTTCTAACATAGTCATGAATCATGGGTTTATATATTCATGGTTTATACATAAACCAACCCATTCAATTTAGGCAGTTTCCGTTCAATTAGCTATGAGCATATCTAAGCATTTTACATGACAAACAAATTTTTGCAACTTCTGTTGTTGCTCCTGCTATAATTTTCTCCCTGCCCCCCCCCCACCCCCCACTTACTAACGCTGTCCCCCACTTACTTTGAATACCAGTCTCATGAAAGTGTGATGCAATGATGAAGATGATGAAAAAATGAGCCGCGTCATGACAAAACCAACATAATGGGTTTATGACCAGCATGGATCCAGACCAGCCTGCGCATCCGCGCAGTCTGATCAGGATCCATGTTGTTCGCTATCAGTTTCTCTACTTGTTATAGGGTTTTAAGCGAACAGCATGGATCCTGATCAGACTGCGCGGATGCGCAGGCTGGTCTGGATCCATGCTGGTCGCAAACCCATTATGTTGGTTTTGTCATGACGCGGCTCAAATAGAAGAATTATTTAAGATGTGTGTTTAAAATGAGACGATCCTGTTAAAGACAAACTCACCGCGACAGGTGACTGACACCGTTCAGGTGCCGAAATAATCTGAAAATTTATCATAACACTCAAATTAGTACGAAAGGGGTTTGAGTAAATAGTTCAGAAACAAACTGATGTAATTTGTTAGTATTAAACCCCTCAACCCAGAAGAGATGAAAGTGAAAGTTGCGGAAAAAGAAGGGAGATAATTATTCTCCTTATTAAGTTATAACTAAAATTTAAAAAAAAAACAAAAAAAAAACAAGAAAAGTTGTTAAAAGAGAGATAACTCTGCCCATTAAAAAGAAAAAATCAAGAAGAAAATTCTAGATTAAAAAAGGGAGATAATCATCATTTAATATAATATCTTAGTAATTTAAATACATGTACATGTCTTTCAGCAAAAACAACTAATTTAGTATAAAATTTGTTCTGCGATGATAAGCAAACCAGTGTTTTCAATTTGAGAAAATAAATCAGAAATATTTTTAGATACAGTTAAATTATTTATTAAAATGAAATTGCTTCATTTAAACACCAAGAGTTTAATTACAGTCCTTATTGATTTCTGTTTACAACAAGCAATGAAAAATTTATGAATAAATTTCACAAGATTTACACAATTAAGTTACGCATCATTAAATTCTATCGAACAAAAAAGTCATGCTTGTGCATTAATATTAATTTCACATAATTTACTTTGGAAAAAAAATAAGTATATATATTCATACAAAAAACAACTTTAAAAAAACAACTATGAACATTATATAAGTCCTTTGAAATAATTTGATACTAATTTTGAACAAGTTTTTTGAAACAATTTTATTTTGTCTCAAGGTTTCTCATTTATGTACATGTACACTAACATATACAGTGCAAATGTACTTATTGCCATTTATATCTGTACTTAACTTCACTGCACAAACTACCAAAAAGGTATTTTAGGAAGAGTAATATCTAGACTTTCAAAAGAAAAAAAGGGAGGCGATAATTGGGGCGTTTAACAGAGGTACATATATATATGGTATTCTAAATCGGTAAACTTAAACAATAAAGTATTTGTCTTATGAAGTCAATGTAAAATGTTTTCTAGCCAAAGCAAGCTTTCAAAATTTTATTCTAAACCACCTATGAAAAACATTGACTGGTCATTTAACAAGAAAGAAATAGTATCCCGTTTTCAAAACAAGAGCACCAGATGTGGTGTCAACGCTCTTCATTTAAAAATTCTTAGTTAGAAAGGGGTATAACTCCAAAAAATATTGCCTTCAAAATTATGCCCCTTGTCTAACAAATACACCTTGTCACCATATGCAAGTATTCCAAGTTTCATGTTTGTGATAACTTTAAAATGTTTGAATATGGGCTTAATTAAAGTTTTTGTATGATTATAATGACAACCATGACGCCATGGCAATCATAATATCTTGACTTTCTTCCTTGAAATAGACGAGCTAAAAATGTTACAAATAAGCCTATCACTATTATACTATAACTGGCGATACATTTGCCAAAGCTGACCTGAATTCTACAAATTAACTAAGGGACCTAGTTTCAAAAGATTTCCATTAAAACTTATAATACAAAAAGATTATGTTTTGTAATTCAGTAACTTACGGCAATAAATCATGTTTAAACAGGGTAGATTATCTGCATAAAGGAATGTTTAGTCCACTGGCATAATAGTGAAGCTAAGAAAAGTCATATTAATGGGTCAAATGAATGTTAGGAGAAAATCTGAATTGGCAAGTTGATTAAACAGTTATAAAAAAACAAGCACACTATCTAGTCTCACCTTCTCCAACTAGTATCGGGTGGCGGCGATAAATAGGCTCCACTCCCGTATGGTGAACAATCAGCCTGTTTAACACAAAATATCTATACTTTATAGCATAGCACTATGTAAATATAGTTAATTCATAGCATGTAATAGAATTATATATATATGTTATATTTCAGAAACTGATCTTTAAGGGGGAGAAAACTCTTTAATATTCTTAAGTATACTACATGGGTCTTAAAAATATTTCTATTCATATTAGGATCTAAAAGAATCAAACAGGCCTGAATCAAATATATCAAGGTGACGATTTTACATCAGACAATAGTCAATAAAACACAAGAAAATTAAATATGAAAATCATGATCCACAAAGGACAGAAATGTCCATGAAACACAGCCCCTACAATATCCAAAAGCAACTGCACCCAAATGGGAGCCAAAAGGGCAGGGGCAAACAAAGGAGGTGACTGTGAGGCCAAAAAGGGGGGATAACACTGGAAGATGCCTTTATTCATTTAAGAAGCCATTAGGTTAAGAGATCTTCCAATAACTGTTAAAGGCTATAAGGTTGCTTATAGTTGTTGCTGTTTTTTTGGGTTTTTTGTTTTACATTGCACCAACACAGCAGAAGTCATATCTATGGCATCTTTTTAGCTTAAATGGTGGAGGAAAGCCTCAGGTTTCCCTCAATTATTTCTGGCACATGCAGACACAAGTAGAACCACTGAAGTTCTATAAGATAGCTGGATAGCTTTCAGCTCTAACAAAAGAGAATCCAAAATCCGGGAAAGGAATCGACACACAGCCATTGGGGTAAGTAGATAGAACTCAACAACCAATTGACCACAGATGGCACTTTCAAACTGCACAAAGATCAGGAGATTGGTTCAAAGTCTGTTTTCAAAAAAGTAAGAGTAGCAGACGGATAAAACTCACAATCTCTTGCTTTGTATGTGAACAGTTCTAAGACCAGGCACAGCCAGGTAGCTTTCTTGTCTTACATTAAATAGTTACTTCATGAATAAAATAGCTGAGATGAACCAGTTGTCTTTTTATACTATGCCTTCTCTAAGACTCTCTATGCAAAAACTAGAATGTGTCCATAGGACACAGATTCCCTTACATACCACTGTTTTGACAGTCTACTGACAGACAGTTATATAGAAGGACATGGGTAAATCTATATGCAACCACTGCGCCTCTAAAAAGAATTCACACCTGACAAAATGTACTCAGTTCCATAGAAATCTGTATTAAAAATGCAACACTAAATGAGTGAAGATCATTTGCACAAAGTATAATCAAAGAATAATCTAACCCTCGATTTTTCCATTTGAAAAGGTCTAGATCTGAGAGGGCCAATTTGTTGTCTCCCTCTGTCACGAGGATGCATTCTATCAACACGACCTTGCTGACCTCGCATACCTTCCATGTGTTGCAAAGTCTGAAAAATAGTTTTATAATAATATCATGTCCATTTTGAGACATCAATCTAAAGAATTTATTTTAGTAGGAAGCTGTAGGTTTACAGATATCCTCAAATCTGCTCCTTGAACCAACCAGCAATGAGTCTATAGTTTCTTGCTTGGCTTGCCCCTGAAAGGGTTTGAACTCGCACTTATGTGTTAACCACTAAAAATATCTCTGACTCAAACTATGGTTTTTAAAAAAACTCATTATCCGATGGCATTTTTAATAATTACTACTTTTTTTTTTTCTACATCATACTGCTTTAAAATCGTTTTCGATCACTCTAAGCAGGTATACATTGTATACATTTAAGAAACAGCTTTAAGATACAAGGGAATCCGGGAACCAGTCCCTAGCTCTTATTGAATAGACCCCTTGGTTCTTTTACATGCCCAGTGTATAGCACTGATACATGCGAGGATTACCTGGATTTCTTACCAGTACACCTCTAGGTAGGTGGGAAACACTGAAAGTGTCTCTGAAAAATCCCAAGGGTGTAACCCAGGATCGAACCCGGGACCTCAGGAGTGATAGTCAGTGGTTTAACCAACTGAGCTATCGCGCCACCACGCAATTATGGCAACATTTAATTGAAAAATATATTTTCCTACTCCTCTTAGATACAGTAAAGGTTCAACTGACCCCTATATCAACTTGGCATGGGTCAACTTGGCCCTATAATAAAAACCTACTAGGATATAGATTGTTTTGTAAATTAACATTTTAAAAATAAATAACTGTACAATTATTCAGCGAATAAAAATTGAAGTCGGCAGCAAATAAATTTTTGTTGGTTTAGAAGACATACCAAGTCAAGATGTTTATTTGATTGTATTTAGTGACAATAAATTATGTAATTATATAAAACACTATCTGTTCTTTTTAACACCCAATTTGAACGATATTATCCACAAAATATCTGATGTAAATAAACATACATTTAAGTTGTAAGTTCTTCCTTTCTCTACAAATTCACATTTTTTTCAACAATTAAACTTTAAAATATAAGTTTAAATGCGAAAATGTTAAATAATGAAAGTAATGATGAAAATATACAAAAAGTTATAAAAGCAATCATTATTATTCATGGGCCGAGTTGACCTGTCTTGAGCTGGAATAAGACCAAGTTAGTTTGAGGGCTGAGTTGACCCAGATTCATTTAATACAGGCATATAGCCATATAATGTTTGAATTATAGCTGGTTTGTAATAAATAACAAGAAGCAAGAAGATTTATACTGAACAGTACTTAGAATATCATACATATGAAAGACAACTTGATGCATATCAATTAAAACAATTAGAAGAATATAACTTCTCGTTGTAATAACTGATACATCAAAACGGCTTGAAGATACTACTTTCTTTCATTTTTTTCAAGTGTTCATGATTCAATAAGTGTGTTTCTGAGAACTACATTATATGAATACAACCCACACTTGAACTGAAATTTATTTAGGTCACATTATCAAGGGAGGTAATGCAAACAGCATATCATAAATTTGAATTATTTCACACTCAATACATCTTATTCTGGAAAATAAACGTTTAGACTATAATTAAATATACATTTTAGTGGACCTTACTAAACTCATACACTATGTGGTTAACGAATTTTACCTGTAGATCTAGCCCTGAATTCGCGTTCACCATTTGATTCACGTTCGGAAGGGATCCCCCTCTATATTGCTGCATTATGTTCTGTTGTATGTGTAGTTGTTGGGTCTGTTTTTGTTGCATATGGCCCTGTAATACCAAATAACAATGTATAATGGACATAACTGTATAGTAGATGGGACATACTTTACGAAAATCGAGCGACAAACGTATCGGTTTTGTAAAAGCAAAAATGGACATTCATGGTAGGCTACTCTGGAAACATTTTCTAATGAAATCAACGCACCCTCGTTGCTGCGCTAACATCTCTGAGAATGGCTTCAAAGGCAGCAGTTTCCTCAGCTTGTTTTTGAGTGTGCAGAGCAATTTTCTCACTAAATTTTCTAGGGTTCGCCATGTTGGATGCAAATCGACAGACTTGTTATGATTTTGCCAATGCTGGGGGTCCTTGTCATAAAACAAACCAATGAAACATCGACTTTCAATTTCGCCGCTAGAGGGAGTAAATAGAAAGCACCTGCAGTACAGACGACAGCCAAAGCTATTTTCCGTGTAAGTGACAATACAGGGCGCGTCAAATGTTTATTCCGGTTTGTAAAAAATCGCTACTACAGTACATTTGAATAACATATTCGGTCTCAATCATCTAACAATGTGATTTAATCTCATGTCATCTTTGTTGGATAAGATGTACGAAGTATAATCTTTATAATTGCTTGTAATATGTCTATTTTGAAGGCCTTGTTGAAAATAAGATTGTGCATTATATGTCTTTATCTTTGATGCTTCGATGTATCGTCTTAATAAGCTACCTTCGTTAAATAAAGAGTTTTTATTATTATTATTATTATTATTATTATTATTATCAGTATAGCGAAACAAAAAGCAAGAACCGAGAATATTAATGTGCATTTCTTATTTTCACTACACATTAACATTTCATCTAAAAAATGATATTATTATGCAATATATTGAAAATGAAAGAAAAAAACAGAAAGTAAGACAATATAATAAAAAAATGCATGCAAATCGAAGCTTTAATTACAGCCGTGGTAGGCCTAATATCAACTTGATTGTAAGATATGCCACACATTTTAAAAATCCGCGCGCAAAATATTTTTGTGTTATGATCCATTTGAAGTGATTGTTTTAGTTTACATGACAATCATTATCTTAAAAGAAACACTTCATACTTTATATCAAAGTCTTTATTTTTTAAATGTAGATTTAAAAAAGATAAGATTTTGATATGGAATATATGATATTGTTTTTTTGTTATTGTTTTGACTGTAGTGTAAACTACCACACACATTCACACATGTTAAACTATTGATCATAATATTTGTTTGTTTCATTTTGATAGGGGTCAGTTATGTTATGTTGATTTAATGCTATTATAGTAATCCATTCGGAATTTAACGAATTTTAAGTCGGCTAGCTTTCTTGGTGCTGTATCAGAATGTACGATATATATATACGCAATACTATATACGTTAAATGTAAAATAGTAATAAAAATGGTGAGACGGAATAGGTCTCAGTGATCATATGATGCTGATATTTATACAAATAAGAAAAGTTCTCATTTTTGTGTGTGTTTGATGTATATTACTAGTTATGAAGATGTTTGGCAGGTTATTTGGCTTATGAAGAAATATGTCCCAAACATCTAGTCTCCTTCCATTTAGCGTAAATTAATATTCCTACTTTTCCTTTTTATAGAATGTAAAAAGCATTTACAATGTATATCTATTTTGTGAAAAATTTCTGATAAAGTTATTTCATAAACATACTATTTTGACTTCAATGTCATTAAAATTGAACTGAATTAACCGTTTTTATGATACACAAATAGTTTTTAATGCCTGAAAAATTTAACTCCTTTGTTAAGCACTTTCAGTTCAGTTTACATTATTTAAATTATGAAACTACTCTCCGTAAACATTGTTCTCCCTTTATGACCATTTGTGTCATATATTAGTTTGAAACGCAATTCCCGATACATTGTGTTATTCAAAAGCTTTGACTTTTGGATGTTTTGTCACATAATGCTTTTCTTTTGACATTTTAACTCTTTAAGCCTAAGGTTGTTAGTGTATCGCAACCTGACATAAAAAGATATATGGAAACTAATGATATCGAATTGCATTATGTTTTTTAAAAATTGCTTACACAGCCACAAACATATAACGCTAATAAACTTCTTTTCTGACATACAAGCATCATTGAAAGTTATTGTTGTATTATGGGTATATTTATTAACATGTACACAGAGCGTGCACTTTTAATATATAACACAGACACGTGTTGCTAGTTCTATCGTTTAATGACCACTGAATATTTCCAAGTATATAAGTGGCGGGAAGAAAATGGACATGCGCATTACAGTATAAGATATTATTAACATGAAACATATGTATACAATATAAAACAGTTATCCTTAAAAAATCATTACAACATTTAGTGAACTCTAAATGAATTCTAAAATTATGAATAAATAAATAAATAAATAAATAAATAAATAAATAAATAAATAAAATAAATAAATAAATAAATAAATAAATAAATAAATAATTACATGTACCACAATTAGTGAACGCTTTTGACTTCTAAAAAGTATGAACTAATAAATAAATAATTTAGAAAAATCTTCACAATAAAAGGGTTAAAAAATGTGTATGATGTAACAAATAAAACCTTGACTTGACAACTTAACGGCGAGAGCATCAAATATGTTCAAAAGCAATGTACAATACATTTGTTCGTTGTTATTTGGGTAAGACAATGTCGCGGGATTTAACCCATTCACAAGCTTAAAAATATAAAAATATAAAACTTTAATTAGCGAGAAAGGGACCCAAAAATAAGAAAACGTGCACAAAAGGCCACACATTTAATTGCTTTAATTGTTTGATATTTGGTAGTAGTAATTTAACATGCAATCAAGGTATAGCGTAGTATGGCTGCTGCAATGGGGACATCGAATTCAGCCTTATGTGAAAATGTTTCAATTGATAACTGTTAATTATATTATGGTAGATATAATCTTATCAGTAAGCATTAATTAAGCAACCAATTAAACTTTAAATCTTTAAAAATAAGTAGCTATCATTTGGTTAAGATGATGAAAGTGTTGAAAAGGATATTTTTCTCTTTTTATACTTATTTGTAGTTATTTGTACAAGTAAAATTTGAGGATTCATTAAAGAGTCCTGTAATAAGTATTAAAGCATCGAAAATGCATGTTTATTTGCAAAATAACATTTCAAACACATTTCTCTAATGGTTATTGTACTTATTTTTATTTTATTCCTTTTATGTCATTAGACTTATTTATGTGGTTACACAGTACAAATACATATTGACTTAATTTTAGATCATATTACATTAAAACAATTGCTTTGAATTGTTCGGCGACAGTTGAGTATATAAGACTGTATTGATAGGTAACCGATAGCCAGATCATTCTAATGCTTATATCTTTACATGTAGTCTCTGGTAAAAGCACTCGACAATTTTCTGATAGTCGATGCCTGCAAATGAAAACAATTGGATATTAAAATAATGCCACTCGAGTGGATAGACAGCTGCAATTAGTTAAGGAAGTCGGTTCTTTTATTTGATGCCTTTTATATTAATAATCGATCAATAAGTATAGAAATCACTTTTGACGTACTTAATTTAAAATATTTATTTTACAATAACAAAAATAATTGTATAAAAAGCAATTGAGAAGTACAATTTATATTTATCACGCTTGTTCAAAGCGCATGTTTAACTTTCTTTTCAGAAATCAAATTGAGAAATGTTTCATTTGACGAAAATAGTTTCTGATTGTTTTTTACATGCATATAAGAAATTAGAATAAAGGGAAATGTAAATATTAACAATAGAAATGAAAGCGTCACGGTAATATATTGGAATATGTTATAGGCAATTGGAGCTCAAATTGACTTGGTATATCATATAGTAAAAATATCATTGATCTTGTTATAATGGAACAACTAGATTTTTGATGAATTCATACTGTTACTCATTTGAATTTGTTTGTGTGACTGCATGTTTGTAAGAGTCAGAAGATTGAGTTTTTTTTCAAAACTGGCGACACGCATTTCAGTGGCGAGAATGAGGATTTAAAGGCAGTGTAGAGTTTCAAAGGTGATTGGTGTTTTCGTCCTGTTGGTATTATGTACTGGTATGTATTTACTGTTCTTTTATAATTTTATGATATATTGCAGACGAAACAATTTAACGAAATTAAAAAAAAAAAACACTTTGATTAATCATTAAATGTGTGTGTATAGAAATCTAATATGAGTTGTATAAATTATCACTATCGTAAAGACATTTTCTCTTATAGAAAGGTTCTACATGTATACTTCCCGGATATTTTTTAATTCATAATACATTTGTGTTTTTCTTTCGTATTCACCCTCTCCCAACGATCCATCGTCGATCGTCGTTGATCAAATTACGTACCAAAATTGAATTATTGAAATGAAATATTTTTATCTTTTAATCAATAAAAGAAAATTTCATTTAAAAAAAAAGAAGAAGAAGAAGGCAACAGAATAAAACGATACTATTTTTAGTGTGATTAAGAAATAATTTTTTAATAAATTAAATAGACATTTGCCTAGTTAAAGCTCATTTTCAAATTTTATTCTATATACTAAATGAAATGTTTAACTGATATTAAATACATTCATAAGAAAATTATCAACTTCTTATTGATGTCTATAGACTTTTATTCTACACATGTATTTAATTATTTTTAGTGGTGCTTATATATAACCACTAATTAAGCTGTAATTCTGTACCATTTTTATATTATACCTTCACATTGTTTTTGTACATTATTTATGAACTTTATTTTGTTTTGGGCTTGTAGCTGATAAGTAAAAAAAGATAGTGTATCGCAAAAATAGGAAATATAATTATCATAGTTCTTTCATTTAAATGCTTGCGTTTTGTAAATGTTGTGCCTATCTTAATAAAGTGTGACAGAGAGTTATTATAAAAGAAGAAGTTTACCTACATCCACAGTTGAGAAATAAAACATATATAATTAGCAAAAATTAAAATATGGTAATTCTTTTGGAAACATCAATAGCTGAAAATAAAACACGCAAAGTTATTATAAATTCACTACTAACCAAGAAGTTAATTGTGCTTGAATTGATTATTTCTGTTGAGCTGGTTCAATTTCAAAGTTTATTATCAAAAAAATATGTGCAATAATTTATTCAAAACATTTTTGTTTGAAAAAATAGAAGTAGCACCGACTAATGGGATTTTTCTCTTCACTAAGTGCGTGTGACCTGCCGATTTTATTCCCTTCTACTTAATAATGCAACGATTTCCTGTACGCATATTGGTTTCGTTATTCTTAGAATACAAATGTATATACTGGTATCCTTAACATACATGTTGAAAATGTCGTCTGAAAAATGTATGCATCATCGCTTCCGGTTATTAATTGCATTTATTTGCATTTATTTCCGCTCATTTTAATCGATTAATTTACAAAATTCTATCAACCATTACCCTGCTCCGTTGTATAATTGATTTGTCATGATTTTAATGGAGAATTGGCCAATGTCAATTTTTGAAACTTCAAAAGTAAAAGGTTAAAGAGATCAGCAGAACTGTGCCAGACTGTGGCCCGGCTATTAACTATTTTTAACGGCTTTATACATATATGATATAATACAACATGCGTTTTATTACTGATTTTGTATTGAATAAATTCTTGTTCTAAAAGGACTATCTATTACCCGACTAATGACATGTTTTTGATGTTCTAAGCGTTATAACGTTAATGAACTTCATTTCTGACATACAAGTATCATTGAAAGTTATCCTTTGAAAAAATTATAACAACTTTTAGTGAACTCGAAATGAATTTTAAAATCATAAATAAATAAAAAGATAAATAAATAAACAAATTAATTAATAAACTATTACAAGTAGATCTACCACAATTAGTGAACGCTTTTGACTTCTAAAAAGTATGAACTAATAAATAAATAATTAAGAAAAATCTTCACAATAAAAGGGTAAAAAATGTGTTTGATGTAACAAATAAAACCCTGACTTGACAACTTATCGGCAAGAGCTTACTCGTAAAAATAAAAACTTCAATTAGCAAGAAAGGGACCCCAAAAATAAGGAAACGTGCACAAAAGGCCACACATTTAATTGCTTTAATTGTTTGATATTTGGTAGTAATTTAACATGCAATCAAGTTATAGCGTAGTATGGCTGCTGCATTGGGGACACCGAACTCAGCCTTATGTGAAAATGTTTCAATTGATAACTGTTAATTATATTATGATAGGATAAAATCTCATCTGTAAGCATAAATTAAGCAACCAATCAAACCTCTTTTAAAAAAGTAGCTATCATTTGGTAAAGATGATGAAAGTGTTGACAAGGATATTTTTCTCTTTTATATTTATTTGTAATTATTTGTTTCTTAGAATACAAGTTAAATTTGATTTCATTAAAAGTCCTTTAAAAAATCTTAAAAACATCGAAAATGCATGTTTATTTGCTAAATAACATTTAAAATACATTTCTCTAATGATTATTGTACTTATTTTTATTCATTCCTTTTATGACATTGGACTTATCTATTTGTCAACACAGTACAAAAACATATTGACTTAATTTTAGATCAAATTACATTTAAACACTTGCTTTGAATTGTTCGGCGTTAGTTGAGTATATCAGACTGTATTGATAGGTAACCGATAGCCAGATCAATCTAATTCTTATAGTGTTACATGTAGTCTCTGGTTAAAGCACTCGACAATTTTCTGATACTCAAATCCTGTTAATGAAAACAATTGGATATTAAAATAATGCCACTTGAGTGGGTTAACAGCTGCGATTAGTTAAGGAAGTCTGTTCTTTTATTCGATAATCGATCAATAAGTATAGAAATCACTTTTGACGAACTCAATTTAAAATATCTATTTGACAATAGCAACAATAATTGTATTAAAAGCAATTAATAGTACAATGCCTATTTATCAATGTTGTTCAAAGCGCATGGTTTACTTTCCATTAAGTAATAAAAATTTAGAAATATTTTATTTGACGAAAATATTTTCTGATAATTTTCTGCAAACATGTTTGAAATAAGTGTAAAGGGAAATATTATTATTAGCATTCTCGGTAATACGTATATTGGAATATGTAATAGGCAATTAAAGCACTGTTTTATTTGGCATATTTTATAGCAAAAATAGCATTGATCTTGTTAGAATGGAACACTTAGATTTTGATGGAATAATTCATACTGTTACTCTTGAGCTAAATTCTTATAACTTGTTTGTGATTGTTTGTTTGTAAGAGCCAAAATATTGAAACTTTTTTTTTTCAAAACTTGCTAAACGCATTTCAGTGTCGAGAATGAGGATTTTAAGGCAGTGTAGAGTTTCAAAGGTGTTTGGTGCCTTTGTTCTGTTGGTATTATGTACTGGTATGTATTTACTATTCTTTTATAATTTGATAATATATTGCAAACTATACATTGAATCATGCAACGAAATTTAAGAAACTTTTTTATGTTTCATTAATGTGAGACATGTAATATGAGTTGGCAAAATAATCGCTACCGTAAAAAATAACTGTTATAGAAATATAACCCCTTAAAAAACCCAAAAACAAACAACAACAAGAACATAATAACAATTATCTTGGTGATAAAATTTTTAGTGTGACGAAGTAATGGTTGTATTTGCCTACTATTTTGTTTGAATCATGTAAGGCTCAAATTGAAATGATATACTATAGGAATTGTTAACTGATATAACATACATTCTTAGGAACATTACAAACTTCATATATATAAACATTTTATATTTATCAAGTCATCGTCAATTGTGATTATATATTAACATTAAGCAACAATTTTCTACCATTAATATTATACTTTCACACTGTTTTTGTACAAATGTAAACACATTATTTATGAAATACTTTTTGTTGATGGTGTTTTGGCTGATGAGTTAAAACAAATATTAATTGTATTGAAAAATATATGAAATATAATTATTACAATATTCGTATAGTTCTTTCATTTAAATCCTTGCGTTTTGTAAGTGTTGTGTTAAACATTATGAACTATGGCAGCGATATTTTAAAAGAAGTTTACCTACACCCACAGTTGAGAAATAAAAAAAATGTAATCAACAGAAATGAGGATATGGTATTCTTTTGAAACAGCAACAGCAGAAAATAAAACACGTAAAGTTATAAATTCACTACTAACCTAGCAGTTAATTGTGCTTGAATTGATTTTTTGTTGAGGTTGTTAGAAATTTTTCAGCAATTCAATAAATTCACAGTTTATTAATGAAAGAAATATGTGCAATAATTTATTTAAAACATCTTTGTTTGAAATAATTGAAGTAGCACCGATTAACGGGATTTTTCTATATGGCCTGTCGACCTTATTCCCTTCTACTAAATAATGCAGCTGTTTCCTGTACGCATATTGGTTTCGTTGTTCTTGGAAAATATTTCTATAACATACAAGTTGAAAATGTCGTCTGAAAAATGTATGCACCATTGCTTCCGGATATTTATTGCGTTAATTTGCATTTATTTCCGTTCATTTTAATCGATTCATTTACATCATCTATCTATTAACCATTACCCTGCTGTCTTGTGTAATTGATTTGTCATGTTTTAAATGTAAAATTTTCCGACTCTCAATTTTTGAAACTTCAAAAGTAAAAGGCCAAACAGATCAGTAGAATAGTGACAGACTGTGGCCCGGCTATCAACTATATTTTAGACCGCTATATACATGTATGTATATACATGTATGTATAAATGCAAAACATGATATAATACAACAGCGTTTTTGTATTTTCTGATCGTAAGATCAGTAAATACATAGCTAACATCCACGGTCTAACACAAAATTTCCTTACAGTCCTAACAACGCAAAGTAGTTCTAACTCAAGACTGCTTAAAAACCAGCAATTTAAAAGAAAGAATAATTTTTAATGTAGGCATTTAACAAATTACAGTGCATTAAAAGTTTAGATTAGTCAATAGAAATATGAGGTTACAATCACAAATTTCGCGGATGAATATCTTTTTTACCCAATGAAAAATGTTCGGCTATTTCCGTAAAGCTTCGGATTATCATGAATATCATTTTAATCAATGAAAATGCTATTTTTAGCTATGTCGATTAATGAATACTCCAGAGCGTAGTACACAAATAAATCTGACTGTCGAGTAGTGGAATATATACAAATCGGACTGTTTGGCGAGAAGATTTTCGCTAAATTATTTTCATCAGTGTTAAACAACAGGTTTATCGTGAACAAAATACCTCGAAATTAATAAGGATTGCAAACACGAAATGGAAATTCTCAATTTAGAATTACATAATGTATTCGTTTTTATTCAAGGTACATATGTATTACTTCGCCGTGGTGCAGAGGTAAGCGGTCTCGTTGAGGGTGTGAGAGGCATATAGTTCAAATCCTAGTCGAGGCAATTCTATTTTTTTTTCATGCAAAATTCCATATGTATCAATCTCAAACTGTTATAGAAGAAAATCAAAACGCTGTCGCTGCGTAAGATGAATTATAGTATATAAAAATAAACTTATACAGGAAAGTACATACAGATAGTCAGTATGATTTAGATTGCAAAGATCAGAAAATACCATAGAGCTGCAGCCCTTTGATTTGTGTTGCTGATACATTGTATGCTAAAATAAATATTAAATGTAAAGAAAAGTGTAAAAAAAATTCCAGTGCAGTGTTTAAAAAGGTGTTATTTGCCCATGATATATTCAGTGAACATGCAATACAATGTAGAAATACATCATGTATGTGCAGTGGATGTAAAAATCGGGAAAAAGGAAAAATCCTAAAGATCTCAAAGACCCAGAAAAACATAATAAGAGTAAAGTGAAGTACGGGCTCTCAAACGGCGCTTGAAAACAGCAATAACAACAGAAGGAACAACAACATCAACAAAAATAAAAAAACCCATCAAAACAACAACAACTTAAACACACACAAAAGAGCAAAAAAACAACAAACAAACAAAAACAACAACAAAAACAAACAAAACAACAATAACAAAACCCAACTGGCTGCTAATTGATATTTATAAAGTCATCTGTTTTTACGAGCATCATCTTATTTAGTTTAAACCGAGACTTTTGTGTTGTTGATATAATAAGGCTAGTAGACATAAATAGATAAAACAGGTGTTTTTCGTAGAGTTTAGAATTATCATTCAAATGGCCAGGTGTTGCTGGAACAAACACTATGAAAAGATAACTTGGGAATTGATATGACCGTATTAGAACTGTGATCAAGTTTGAAACTGCAAATATAAGATAGCCATTAGGGTTTTTTTAAAGGGAAAGGCAATGTTAGAATAAAAACTTGATATCAGAAATAGAATACTATAAATAGTAAATCTGCAAATTTTCTGCCTTCAGAAATAATTTTGACGTCATGCTTTAGACGTCATTCTAAGCAAAGAATGTCAGACCATTTTTATTTATAAATGCAATAAAATGTTAATTCAAATATTGACCAATTTCTCTGCTTAATGCAAGAAAATAAGTTTTTCCAGTACAATCAGACACTTGTAAAAAAACAAACAAACTAATATATCGGAATGATTTTTTGTTTACTCTATATTAAAATCGTCCTTATGATAATCTGTTTATATAATGTATTGTTTGGACAAAACATTTTCATGTTTATCCTTGACCTATATGAAGGACTGGGTGACATACTACCATTTGATATTTTTATTTTTTTTTTAATTTCAGGAATTATGGAATTCATTATTTATGCCACAAACAAGACAGCCTTAAGAGTTCTGGAACTGTTTCACAGAAAAAGAATACTGAATGGTAATTTCCACATTTAACCAGTTGTTGTTTGTATATTCAACACAGTTAGAAGTTAAAACATAGTTCAACACTTGAAAATTCATTTAAAAAAAGAAGAATTAAAAAGTCTTTGGTATCTATTAAATGGCATAATTTAAATTTAAAACATTTGCAAGCTTAATTTCAATGACCTTGCAATGGGTTTTGACAGCAGTGTCACCACTATCATCTTAAAATTAAATTAGTGAAAATTTCTGCAGCAGCGTAGGTTTTCTAAAATTGTTATCCAGCTTGTTTTGTATGCCATTTGGATCATTGAATGAGGGAAATGGTTTTTAGACATTAAGTTTTCATACAGTGACAACTTTAAAAACAGGTGTCTGAAATGATATGCATCGGAAACATTCTTGGTTATTAATGAAAGTAAATCTTTGTTTAGCAAATCGCTTTGCAATGGCACATTTTAAGCGTTCTTGTGACGAATTACCAAAGCAATTGCATTCTGTTTTAAATTTTATTTCTATCAAATGGTGAATGCTATTTGGCTATTCATGCTATTTGGCCTGGTCTCAAAATTGCTTATAACTGATATTTGTAGAAATTGCACAATCTTCGATCCGTACAGAGGTATCAGTAGGAAGGCCAGTTTTTTATACAAAAAATCTAACTTTTTTGCAAATGAACTGTGTACCTGAGCCTGATGAATGTTTCACGTGATCGGAGTATTGTATAAAGTTTATGTATTTCTATAATGAATTCTACAACGATGAGACTCAAATTAAACATTAATTAAAAATTCAATTTTGGAAATCTGAGTTTCCTTTTCTTTTAAAATATTGGTGGTTCAAAAGAAAAAAATACATATATGCTATTGCAGTTGTCATGGAAATAAATAATTATGCCTGTTATAAAATTGAATAAGATTGTATTGCTGGAAAACCTTTTTGAATTTGTTTAATTGTATTTATAAACATTTTCCGTTTTTGTATTTGATGCTTTATCAACACCTGTGCAATATGAAATCTGAAAATCTTTCTACGCCAGAATGATTCTAAATTGCCAGCGTCGTATTCTCTTTTAGAGACAATATTTATTTGAATAGTATTGTTACAATCTACATGTGGTAATTATTGTGGACGTCAACTGAAAACCATTTGCCTAGACATTTGTAGTGGAATTGCATAAACTTACTATATGTGTTTTCTAAATGGTCTCAAAGCCTTCCATTTCATATTTGGTTTTTTAAAACAGAAAATCTTATCTTTCCTTGTAAATAATGTCCCGTAGAGTACAAGCTTTGTTTCAGTAACATGTAGCTTGTAGCATATATATTGAACTGATGTGTGTTAATCATATGCTAATACCCTTTTTATAATGTTCTCTTTTACTAGAAGGAGCCTTACGTTACTTACCAAAATATGACGTCATATTAAGCGCCTATATGAATAGTGGTTCCACATATACCGGAAGAATACTAGGTTTCCGTAAAGATGCATTTTATTTTTACGAACCATTATGGCGACTGACACTTTGGGGATATTACAGATCCAACTTTACTGTGTGTAGCACTCGAACAAACATGTGTAGGTATGGGTTATTTTATTACCATTTATTTTCAATTACAGTTATATGTACATTTATTAACACTATTTACTCTTTTGTAAGGATTCATTTAGTTATGATTAAAATTTGACTATTTTAAACTCATCGACATATAGATATACACTTATGATAAATACTTTTGATAAATACTTATGAAAAATGCTTATATGTGTATTTTTTAATGTGTATAACATTGAAGATATGTTTTTGAATGAAAATATTCCTTTGTAAACATATTCAAAGGTGTAATGATTAATTTATACAGAGAAATCCCAAAAGACGAAATGAATCAAAACAAACCTATTGTTGGACGGTCCAAGAAAGGCCTCGATTTTCATTTGCTTCATGACAAAGATATCATGTAAGTTGTTTTTTCCTTCGAAATATATGATCAGAATCATTGTGATCAGAATAAGAAAAAATAGTTTTATTGTGAAATTACAATTACAATTTAAGGTTGGTTTAAGCTGTTCTTTTCGCAAATCCTTGATTTTCTTTATTAATAGTAACAATTTTATTATATGCATTCACTTAATATATAAATTCTTATTTTTTTTGTAACTGCGGTTCAATCAAAAGTGGCATTTTGATGAAGAACTCATGTCAAAGCTTTTTTGTACGACATAATAAAAATACCTTTTATATCCGGTTTCAATGTAATTACGTTCTTTAAACCCATAGCAACATGTCAGTAACTCCTTTACAAGTCGCTCAAAGAATAATTCATCACGTCTTTAGATGTCGTCTGCTGCAGGTTCAAAATCTTATCCAACCAGGAGTAACAGATGCTGTAGGATTTTCAGGTAGTATGTTTTTATCATTGTATATTTAATTCATAAACCATTACACTAATATGTTCAATAATCACTATTTTTGTTTAAAAATATCGCCAGATCTTAAGAATTTCATTCCGGTTATGATTTGCATGATACTGGCGTAAGAACTTCGTTAAAGTTTACTTTTAAACATGTTTTGTTGTAGTTGTATGTGATATTAGTATAATTATATACCTTGTATTATATAAAATTATATGTATATATTTTGAACTATTTTATTCTTTAATATCAGATACTGTATGTGTTACTTGTACACATATTCTTCATATCCTGTATAAATTAAATACAAGTTCATGTCTTTTATTAAATGTGCAAGACCAACCATAAAGTGAATTTCCTCAAATAAACTTTAACAAATTTTCTTTATCAAATGCCATATTTCTAGATCCACTGGCATTTATGTAAACTAGCGTTGGAATTGTTTCTGTCAAAAAGTTATGTTTAGTATAAAAGATAACCTGTGTATTTTCCTCGTTGATATAGGTCAAAGCTGGAACATTTATCGTTATTGTATTAGCAGAAATAAACCATTTGATCATTGTCTAGAAGTTTTGCAATCCTCAAATTGTCACCATGCCAAACACAGAGTGTCAAAAGTACTGAGACTATCTCTTGGAGCATTAGAAGATATTCTTCGAACCTCTCCTAAACTGAAAGTAGTTCATCTTTTTCGAGATCCCAGAGCTATAATTCATTCGAGATTAGAGACACATGGGTATCCTCTTGAAAAGACGACGTCTCATAATGGTATAAAGAACAATGCAAAATCCTTGTGTACTAAAATGGCGGCAGACCTTAAGGATGGCGAACGCTTAAAGAAACTGTTTCCGAACAGGTTTTGTTTCATTCACTATGAAGATATTTACACAAAAGATGATTCTTTAATCGAATTGCATACTTTTCTTGGAATGTCAATAACTCGAGAAATCATACATAACGCTAGGGTGCATGTGTCAAATTATGGAAGCAACAGAAAAAGGTCTGCTAGATCGGAAAGGAATAGAAATAATGCATTTTGGTGGAGAAAATATTTAAGTTGGGACATAATGAAATTAATTGATTCTGAATGTTCCTTTATATATTCAGAACTTGGATATCCAATCATAATGGACAAAGAGGACAAAGAGAATTTCAACGAATCTTTTGTGATACAGAATCTCCAATTTTCAATGACGTAATTAAAGGCTGGTTGGTTAGTTGAAAAGTTTGTACTTGACTGCTAAATTAATAGCTTATTTAAACATATTTAGCCGTCGCAAAGCTATATAAGTGTATGTGCAATTTAAACGTAAATTTATAACCTAGCCAAAATGACCATCGTATAAATAAATTCTCTTTTGTTATATACATATATTTGTATTATAATAAATAATCTAAATGATTATGTGAATATAAAAACCTACATAATTATTTGGTTAATGATCTTCGTCAACAGTGTGTAACAAAAGAACTAACTGACTTTTCTATCTTACATGAGTTTTATTCTTGTACGTTATTTTTAAATGTTACTCTTGCCATAGACTCGTCATAAATGAAAGTGTGAAAGATCTCTGTCTTTCTTAAATAACTTTATATAGCCAAGCTCAGTCTTAAAATTCCTGTTACCATGGCAACGAGGGGACATCTCAAAATTGGCAAAAATCTCTTTTTGTGTTGATTTTTTCCATTAAAATTTGTCTTTAAAGTGCTGCAACTTCTCAATGGATTAATCTAGAGTCAAAGGCTTTCAAGCGTTGGTTATACGTTACCTTATGATCGACCTGGGGTCATTTTTTTGCCATTCACAAGTTCATAATTTTTTTGGCAACCCCCAAACAGAAGGGGGCACCGCTGATGTATCTTTTGGATAGGAGGCGGCGCCGAAAAAAAAGTGGTCACTCTTTTAAACAACATTTCTCAAACAAAAACAATTGTTGGACCTTAATAAGGCATTGTTTCACCATTTGATACAACGAAAAGGGGTGGGGGATGGTGGTGGCGTTTTGGTGGCAAAATGAGGCTTTTTAGCGAGTGTAGAGTTTCAAAGGTGCTAGTGCCTATGTTCTGTTAGTATTATGTACTGGTAAGTATTTACTGTTCTTTTATAATTTGATAAGTAATTACGGGGCATACTATTTAATCAAATCAAATAAAGAAACGGTTTATATAATAATAATTTCATTAAACGTTTTATCTTATTGTTATTATAATCATTAATCATCATTAACGAAAAGGCATTCACTGTTATAGAATTTTACGACGTTCGGCATGTACGTCCTGATCATAATGTACTAGTGTACTTGATAAAAAACATACTATTTTCTGTAAATGAATTCTGTTCCATACATAATTTGTATATTTTAATGCTAGTAACACACAACGTTTTATAGAAAAATAATAATGATTATAGTTTCGTTGTATTGAAGACATGATTACATGTAACAAACATTTATCGAAATAAGTCATTTGCAAAAATATAATTTTTGCTTTTATCATTATAAACTGTGAACATTAGAAGTTTACTAATAACAACAGTTGAGAAATAAACAAAATCAGCAGAAATGAGAATATGGTTATTCGTGAAACAGCAACAGCAGAAAATAAAACACGCAAAAGTGTTTATTATAAATTCATTATTTTCCAAGCAGTAAATTGTGCTTAAATGGTTGAGATGGTTTGTGATGTTTCAACAATTCAATGTAAGTTTATTATCGAAAGAAATATGTGCAATAATTTATCTAAACAACTTTTGTTTGAAACCGACTAAAGGGAAACGTCTATACACTATGTGCATGTGGCGTGCCGATTTTATTCCCGTCTGCTAAATTATGCAGCGGTTAAGTTGCGTTGTTCTGGGAACATATATCTTAAATAAACATTTATATTGATATTATATTTATATAGTTTCGTCTGATAAAAGTATGCATCATCGCTTCCGGTTATTTATTGCGTTTAATTGCCGTTATCCGCGTTCATTTTAATCGATTCAATTACATATTTACCTTGCAGCGTTCTGTAATTTATCTGTCATATGTTTAATGTAGAATTGTCGGACTCTCAATTTTTGAAACTTCAAAAATTAAAGCTTGAATAGATCAGTCTAAAGCGTCAGACTGTGGCCTGGCTTTCAATATACACGTGAAGAAACTAGAACAGATTCAAAAATGATATAATGCAACAGACGTCCAAAAGACTTCTTGTTACCGATTGTGCATTGAATACCCTTTTTCTAATTGTACTATTATTAGGAAAGGCGCATTTTAAGGAAACTTGATATCAATATATTTTTGATGTTGATATATTTTGAATGGATTATCTAATAAAATGAAACGTTCAATTGAAATAAAGTGAAATAAAACATTTTCAAAAAAAAGTTCAAAAAGGGGTTATTTGCTCATTCTTTTTCAATGAGCATGCAAGACATGATCGAACTTATTTTTGGAGAATGTAGAAATAGAAATACTGCATGTATCTGTTGTGTATGTAGAAACCGCTACGCTACACAATGTTCAGTTACTATTGGTAATTGATAATGAAAATGAATTTGAATCTGTAAGTCATAAAATTAGGATGCATGTCTTTCATTACAAAAATGATCGATTTCGACATGCCCGAATAAATATATTGGACAGTTCTATTAAAACATTAATAATTAATCAACTGTTTAAAAAGCATCATATTATGGTGTTGAAACCCAGACCTTTTTTGTTGATACTATAAGTCTTGTACAAATAAAAAAACATAAACCAGGTATTTTAGAAGAGTATAGAATCTCAATAAATTGACCAGGTGTTGTAGTTACAAACACTATGAAATGATACCTTGATAATTGATATGACCATATCAGAGTTGTGATCAAATTTGATTAAGTTTGAAAATGTAAAACATATTACATAGTTGTCAGAGTTGAGTCTATAATCCTAGTATACATGTGTTTATAAATGCTATAAAATTTCAATTAAGATATTGACCAATCAATTTTCTCTACTTTATGCAAGAAAAGAGTTTTTTTCGAGTACAATTTAATTAATTCAAATATTTCTTAAAAATGGCATACTTCCAGTTGATTTTCAGGAATTCTGGCATTCATCACCTATGCCACAAACAAGACATCTTTAAGGGTTCTTGAACTGTTCAACAGAAAGAGAAACATGTATTTACACTTTCTATTTCTAATTTGTTCTCGTGATTATGAGTAACAATTTGTTGTTGTAGCTCTTTTGAAGTTTATATAGAAAAAAGAAATAAAACATCTTTAGTATCTATTATATGATATTATTTGAAACATTTTCAAGTATGTTAGTTTCAATGTTCTTGAATAAGCAAGCCTGATTTATGTGGATATGTGATTAACCAATTTCGTAAGATCTTGAGTCATTTTTTTTCTGTGGCCTTTTCTAAAATATTTGAAAGCTTTGTTAAAAGAGGTTATGACCCTACTATTTCAAAACATACTGTATGCTTAGTGTTCAGTCCTTTTGTAATTGGACAATACGCTTTCCTATTTTGATGACTTCTGACGGAGCATGTGGAAGACTCTATGAAGGACAGTTCTTAATGTCCATTGGGACTGAATTAGCAATTTTAAATCAACAAATGGAACTCTTTTCACGCCAGGATGATTCTAAATCGTAAGCATACACCTTTACAAACAATATTTCTTTCAATATTTTTGTTAAAATTACATGTGATAATTATTGTACATTTGATAATTATTGTCGACTTCAACTGTAAAATATTTGCAAATAGATCTGTGATTGAATTGCATATACATGTAATTAATATATATGAATGCTAATTTGTCTCATGCCTTCCATGTCATGTTTGATTTTTACACATGAAATCTATTCTCTCCTAGAAAATACTATCTCATGTGAGCCAAAATGTAACGTCAGATTCATTACCTAAATGAATACCGGAATTCGACAATATTAAGCTACTGTAATATTTAACATGATAACTTGTCGAAGTCAGCCTTATGTATGTGAAATAGTTCCAATGATAATTGTTAATTGCCCCATATTATAAAGAGATATATCTTTTGTAAGAATAAAGTAGCAAAAATTACAATATTTTAAAATAAAACATAGCTATCATTGAGTTAAGATGATGAAATTGCTGAAAAGGAGGCTTTTCTATTTGCTATAGTTAATTGAAATAGAGATGATCCCAAAATATTTTAATACTTATGTTTAAAATATTTTGGAATCATATACTTATATCTAAAAAAGAACATTTCTTTCATTCTAAACTTTAAAATAGGAACACTAAAGCAACGTTTATTGAAGCATAAATAACCATAGTAAAAATAACACATTTTAAATATAAAACATAGCTTTTATTGATGTAAATTGATAAAAGTGCTAAATATGATAATTTTTCTCTTTTATATTTTGGTTTAGTTACATGTATTTGTTACTTAGAAAGCAAGTACAATTTGAGGATATTTTCATCAAAGAGTCTGTTAAAAAGCTTTAAAACATCGAAAATGCATGTTTATTTGCAGAATAACTTTAAAATAGATAAATACAGAATCCCTAAAGAAAGCCCAACACGGCAAAGTTGAAAATGTTGCAGGCTCGGTTTGATTGAGCCTGTTCATGGACGGTACTGGAAAGTACAGGTTACCGTCCACGCACCCTAGCACCGGCTTTAAATATTCATTTCTCTTATGATTATTGTACTTATTTTTATTTTATTCCTCTATTTGACATCGCACTTATCTATTTGTTAACACAGTACAAATACATATTGACTTAATTTTAGATCATATTACATTTAAACAACTGCTTTGAATTGTTCGGTGTTAGTTGAGTATATGAGACTGTATTGATAGGTAACCGATAGCCAGATCAATATAATGCTTATAGTTTTACTAAAAGCACTCGACAATTTTCTGATAGTCGATGCCCTGTAAATGAAAACAATTGGATATTAAAATAATGCCACTCGAGTAGGTAGACAGCTGCGATTAGTTAAGGAAGTCTGTTCTTTTATTCGATACCTTTTAAGTTGATAATCGATCAATAAGTATAGAAATCACTTTTGACGTACTTAATTTAAAATATTTATTTTACAATAGCAACAATAATTGTATTAAAAGCAATTTATATCTATCACTTTTATTCAAACTGCGTGTTTTACTTTATTTGAAGATATAGAAATTGAGAAATATTACATTTGAGGAAAATAATATTTTTTCTGCATACATGTTTGAAATTAGTGCAAAGGGAAATATTAATATCAGCAACTGAAATGAAAGCTCCTCGGAAATATATTGGAATATGTTATAGGCAATTAGAGCACTGATTGATTTGGTATATTATATAGCAAAATATTGTTTATCTTGCCAGAATGAAACTAGACTTTTGATGGAAGTATTCATAATGTTACTCATTTGAGCTGGATGCCTTAATCTTGTTTTTGTGGTTGCATTTTTGTAAGAGCCAAACTATTGAAACATTTTATCAAAACTGGCGACACGCACTTTAGTGGCGAGAATGAGGATCTTAAGGCAGTGTAGAGTTTCAAAGGTGATGGGTGTTTTCGTCCTGTTTGTATTATGTACTGGTATGTATTTTCTGTTATTTTATAATTTGATAATATATTGCAGACTGAAATTTATGAAACTTTTTTATGTTTCATTAAATGTTTGCGTTTTTGATAGAGACATTAGAAAAATGAGTCGTTAAAATAATCACTACCGTAAAGAAATTAACTGTTATAGAAATAAACCCCCTCCAAAATAAACCCCAAAAAACCATTAAAAAACAACAACAACAACAAAAAGAACAAAAAATAACAACAACCACAACAGAATGACGATTATCTTGGTGTTGATAATTTTCAGTGTGACGAAATGATTGCATTTGCCTACTTTTTGGTTTGTTTCAGATAAGGCTCGAATTGAAAATGATATACTATAGGAATTATAAACTGATATTACATACATTCATAGGAACATTATAAACTTCATATACGAGTGTATAAACATTTTTTTATCTACATCAAATCATCGTTAATTATGATTATACATTAACATTAAGCTACAATTTTCTACCATTAATATTATACCTTCACACTGGTTTTGTACATATGTAAACACATTATATTTGTTTTGGGCTTATGGCTGATGAGTAAAAAAAGATATTTGATATGGTATTGCATATGAAACATAATTATTATAGTCCTTTCATTTAAATGCTTGCCTTCTGTAAGTTTTGTGTTAATTATTATAAACTGTGACATAGATATTTTAAAAAGAATAAGTTTACCTAAATCCACAGTTGAGAAATTAAAAAATGAATGAGGATATGGTATTCTTTTGAAACAGCAACATCAGAAAATAAAACACGCAAATTAATTATAAATTCACTACTAACCAAGCAGTTAATTGTACTTGAATTGATTTTTTCTATTGAAGTGGTAAGAGATGTTTCAGCAATTCAATAAATTCAGTTTATTATCGAAAAAAAAAATATGTGCAATAATTTATTTAAAACATTTTTGTTTGAAATAATAGAAGTAGCACCGATATACGGGATTTTTCTATATGACCTTCTATTAACAAAGTGCGTGTGGCCTGTCGATTTTATTCCCTTCTACTAAATAATGCAGCGGTTTCCTGTACGCATATTGGTCTCGTTGTTCTTGGAATATATATACATACATGTTGAATATGTCGTCTGAAAAATGTATGCATCATTGCTTCCGGTTTTTAATTGCTTTTAATTTCATTTATTTCCGCTCATTTTAATCGATTCATTTACATCATCTATCTATTAACTATTATCCTGCTGCCTTGTGTAATTGATTTGTCATGTTTATATGTAAAAATTTCCAAAGAGATCAGTAGAATAGTGGCAGACTGTGGCCCGGCTATCAACTACTTATTTGACCGCTTTATATATATGTATGTATATACATGTATGTATAAATGCAAAAAAATGATATAAAACAACAGCGTTTCATTACCGATTTTGCATTGAATAAATTCTTAGGTTCTAGTAGAACTATTTTTTACCCGAGTTTATTTTACCCGAGTAATGACGTTTTTTTGATGTTCAAAGTAGTGTTTTTGTGTTGTTGTTACAACATATGCTAAAATAAATATTAAATGTTAAGAAAAATGTAATAATAATTTTCAGAGCAATGTTAAAAATGGTATAATTTGCCCATGATGTATTCAGTGAACATGCATTACAATTCCGAAATGTAGAAATACATAATGTATGTGAAGAAATACATCAGGTATGTGAAGAAATACATCAGGTATGTGAATTGGATGGAAAAAACCCAAAAAAATCGGGAAAAGGAGAAATCCTAATGATCCCGAAGTACCAGAAAAAAATAATAACAGTGAAGTGAAAGACGGGGCTGTCAAACGGCGCTTGAAAACAACAAAGACAACAGCAGGACAGCAACAGCAACAAAAACACCACATCAAAACAACAACAACAACAACAAAAGAGCAAAAAAACCAAAACACACACACACACACACACCCGCACACACACACACACACACACACACGCGCGCGCGCGCACACACAAACAACACAAAGAGAACAACAAAAAAAACAACAAAAAACAAACAAAACAAACAAAACAGCAACAACAATAGCAAAACCCAACTGCTGCACAATTTCCAGTTGATAATTGATATATATATTAAGTCATCTGTTTTTCCGAGCATCATTTTATTTTGTTGAAACCGAGACTTTTGTTTTGTTGATACAATAAGGCTTGTAGACACAAATAAATAAAGCAGGTGTTTTCGAAGAGTTTAGAATTATCATTCAAATGACCAGGTGTTGCAGTAACAAACACTTTAAAAAGATACATTGAAACTTGATTTGACCGTATTAGAACTGTGATCAAGTTTTAAACTGCAAAACTATGTTTAGGTTTTTATTAAAAAAAGAAGAAAAAGAAATATTGTTGACGTCATGATTGGCTTTAGACGTCATTCTTAGCTGAGAATGTCAGACCATTTTTATTGTTATATTTATAAATGCAATAAAATTTTAATTCAAATATTGACCAATCAATTTTCTCTGCTTGATGCAAGACGATATGTTTTTCAATTTGTAAAAAACAAACACACGAAAAACAAACCAATATATCGGAATGATTTTTTATTTAGTCCATATTAAAATCGTCCTTATGATATTCTGTTTATATTAATGTATTGTTTGGACAAAACATTTTCATGTTTATCCTTGACTTTTATGAAAGACTGGGTGACATACTACCATTTGATATGTTTATTTTTTTTAATTTCAGGAATTATGGAATTCATCATCTATGCCACAAACAAGACAGCCTTAAGAGTTCTGGAACTGTTTTACAGAAAGAGAATACTGAATGGTAATTTCCACATTTAACAAGTTGTTGTTGATATATTCAACACAGAAGTTAAAACAAAGTTCAACACTTGAAAATTCATTTAATAGATGAAGAAATAAAAAGTCTTTGGTATCTATTAAATGACATAATTTAAATTTAAAACATTTGCAATCTTAGTTTAAATGTCCTTTAAACATTTAAATGGGTTTTGGCAGCAGTGTCACCACTATCATCCTAAAATTGGTGAACATTTCTGTAGCAGTGTAGGTTTTCTTAAATTGTTTTTCAGCTTGTTTTGTATGCCACTTAGATCATTGAATGAGGAAAATGGTTTTTAGACATTAAGTTTTCATACAGTGACAACATTAAAACAGGTGTCTGAAATGATATGCATCGGAAAAATTGCTTGGTTTTCATTGAAAGTAAATCTTTGTATAGCAAATCGCTTTTCAATGGCACATTTTAAGCGTTCTTGCGACGAATTACCAAAGCAATTGCATTCTGTTTTAAAATTCTATTTCTATCAAATGGTGAATGCTATTTGGCTGTTTTATGCTATTTGGCCCGGTCTCAAAATTGATTATAACTGATATTTATAGAAATTGCACAATCTTCGATCGTACAGAGGTATCAATAGGAAGGCTAGTTTTGTATACAAAAAATCTACCTTTTTACATATGAACTATGTACCTGAGCCTGATGAATGTTTCAAGTGAACGGAATATTGTATAAATTTACTGTATTTCTGTTATGAATTCTACAACGATGAGACTCAAATTAAAAATTAAATAAAAATTCAGTTTTGGAAATCTGAGTTTCCTTTTGTTTTAAAATATTGGTGGTTCAATAGAAAAATACATATATGCTATTGCACTTGTCATGAAAATGAATAATTATGCCTGTAATTAAATTGAATATGTTTGTATTGCTGGTAAACCTTTTTAAATTTGTTTGATTGTATTTATATATATAAACACTTATACACTTTCCGTTTTTGTATTTGATGCTTTATCAACACCTGTGCAATATGAAATTTGAAAATCTTTCTACGCCAGAGTGATTCTAAATTGCGAGCGTCGTATTCATACTCTTGTAGAGATAATATTTATTTGAATAGTTTTGTTGAAATCTACATGTGGTAATTATTGTGGACTTCAACTGAAAACCATTTGCCTAGACATTTGTGGTGGAATTGCATAAACTTACTATGTGTTTTCTAAATGGTCTCAAAGCCTTCCATTTCATAGTTGGTCTTTAGACAGAAAATCTTATCTTTCCTTGTAAATAATGTCCCGTAGAGTACAAGCTTTGTTTCTGTAGCATGTAGCATGTAGCTTGTATCATATATATTGAACTGATGTGTGTTTATTATATCCTAATACCCTTTTTATAATGTTCTCTTTTACTAGAAGGAGCCTTACGTTACTTACCAAAATATGACGTCATATTAAGCGCCTATATGAATAGCGGTTCCACATATACCGGAAGAATACTAGGTTTCCGTAAAGATGCATTTTATTTTTACGAACCATTATGGCGACTGACACTTTGGGGATATTACAGATCCAACTTTACTGTGTGTAGCACTCGAACAAACATGTGTAGGTATGGGTTATTTTATTACCATTTTTTTTTCAATTACAGTTATATGTACATTTATTAACACTATTTACTCTTTTGTACGGATTCATTTAGTTATGACTAAAATTTGACTATTTATAAAAATGTATTTTAAATTCATCGACATATAGATATACACTTATGATAAATACTTTTGATAAATACTTATGAACAATGCTTATCTGTGTATTTTATAACATTGAAAATATGTTTTTTGAAAGAAAATATACCTTTGTAAACATATTCAAAGGTGTAATGATTAATTTATACAGAGAAATCCCAAAAGACGAAATGAATCAAAACAAACCTATTGTTGGACGGTCCAAGAAAGGCCTCGATTTTCATTTGCTTCATGACAAAGATATCATGTAAGTTGTTTTTTTCCTTCGAAATATATGTAACCTTTTTGTGATCAGAATAAGTAAAAATAGTTTTATTGTGGAATTACAATTACAATTTAAGGTTGGTTTAAGCTATTCTTTTCGCAAATCCTTGATTTTCTTTATCAACAGTAACAATTTTATTATATGCATTCACTTATATAAATTCTTATTTTTTTTTGTAACTGCGGTTCAATCAAAGTGGCATTTTGATGAAGAACTCATGTCAAAGCTTTTTTGTACGACATAATAAAAATACCTTTTATATCCGGTTTCAATGTAATTACGTTCTTTAAATCCATAGCAACATGTCAGTAACTCCACTACAAGTCGCTCAAAGAATAATTCATCATCTCTTTAGATGTCGTCTGCTGCAGGTTCAAAATCTTATTCAGCCAGGAGTAACAGATGCTGTAAAATTTTCAGGTAGTTTTTTTTTATCATTGTATATTTAATTTATAAACCAGTACACTAATATTTTCAATAAAAACTCATTTTCTTTACAAAATATCGCCAGATCTGAATTTTATTCCGGTTATGATTTGCATGATACCGGCAAAATACTCCGTTAATGTTTACTTTTGAAACATCATTTGTAATTGTATATGGTATTAGTATAATAATTTACCTTGTATTATATAAAATTACATGTACATGTATATATTTTGAAATATTTTTTCTTTAATATCAGATACTGTATGTGTTACTTGTACACATATTCTTAATATCCTGTATAAATTAAATACAAGTTCATGTCTTTTATTAAATGTGCAAGACCAACCATAAAGTGAATTTCCTCAAATAAACTTCAACAAATTTTCATTATCAAATGTCATATATATAGATCCGCTGGCATTTATATAAATTAGCTTTGGAATTGTTTCTGTCAAAAGTTATGTTGACTATAAAAGATAACCTGTGTATTTTATCGTTGGTACAGGTCAAAGCTGGAATATTTATCGTTATTGTATCAGCAGAAATAAACCATTTGATCATTGTCTAGAAGTTTTGCAATCCTCAAATTGTCAACATGCCAAACACAGAGTGTCAAAAGTACTGAGACTATATCTTGGAGCATTAGAGGACATTCTTCGAGCATCTCCTAAACTTAAAGTAGTTCATCTTTTTCGGGACCCTAGAGCTATTATTCATTCTAGATTAGAGACCCATGGATATCCTCTTGAAAAGACGACGTCTCATAATGGTATAAAGAACAATGCAAAATCCTTGTGTAATAAGATGGAGACAGACCTTAGGGATGGCGAACGCTTAAAGAAAATGTTTCCGAACAGGTTTTGTTTCGTTCACTATGAAGATATTTACACAAAAGATGATTCTTTAATCGAATTGCATACTTTTCTTGGAATGTCAATAACTCGAGAAATCATACATAACGCTAGGGTGCATATGTCAAATTATGGAAGCAACAGAAAACGGTCTGCTAGATCGGAAAGGAATAGAAATAATGCATTTTGGTGGAGAAAATATTTAAGTTGGGACACAATAAAATTAATTGATTCTGAATGTTCCATTATATATTCAGAACTTGGATATCCAATCATAATGGACAAAGAGGACAAAGAGAATTTCAACAAATCGTTTGTGTTACAGAATCTCCAATTTTCAATGACATAATTAAAGGCTGGTTGGTTAGTTGAAAAGTTGTATTTGTACTTGACTGCTAAATTAGTAGCTTATTTAAACATATTTAGCCGTCGCAAAACTATATAAGTGTATGTGCAATTTAAACGTAAATTTATAACCTAGCCAAAATGACCATCGCATAAATAAATTCTCTTTTGTTATATACATATATTTGTATTATAATATACACTTAACAAATCTTATAAGTGTGCATGCATAAATGGTCTCATAGGTGTATCAATATTTGCCCGATCATGCTGAAATTTTCAATAAATACAGAAAAGAGACAGGCTATTATTTTTATTTGTTTTCTTTTATCAT